GGTACCCACTTGTGGGGGGTTATAATATATCCCCCTGACAGGTTGTCCTGGCTCCTCCTTGCCATGACATCTTTGTTGTACTTTGTCAATCTCTGTTTGATAGCATATTTCCCATGCAAATGTGGGAACACTGGATCCAGAGTTGTTTCTGAGTCAGTGTTAGGTATCAAAGTTTCCATAGTTCCAACATCCTTCCCCTATAGCCCCTCTCTCTAGGCTTGAGAGAGCCTTCCAGCAGTGTCTAATTATCTGCCCTCATCCATAAATGCCTTGTTCCAGTAGCCCATATCTCATCAGAATGTCCCGGTTCCCCAACATCTGATGTACATCTTGCTAATCTGGGCAACGTCCGAGCTGGCATGGCATATCATTCCCATGTTTCTTCTTTATTGTGCATCTGAGGTTGGTTGAAGGTTGGCTGCACCAGGGATTGATGGTATTCATAAAAATGAATCATTATATTTCCTCTTATTGATTTACCATTCCTTAGTCCACATGTTGAAATGTTCTGGGACAAAACACTCATCCCCACTTTACTTCAGATGTGTTCACTGGCCTGTGAGTGTACTGTATATTAAAAAAGCATGTTGTAGCCTAAAAAGCGGTGTAATTAAAGAAGTGCTTTAAGATGGTTTATTTGAACATAGCTTGTAAAACTGTATAAGTGTTTTAAGTGCTCATCAAGACTGGAAATGTTTCTTGTAAATATGGTCCATTTGCCATCAAATGCATCTTAGTGGAGCTTCTAACGTTTTGTATTGTTTTTGTAGCATAGGTGATGGAAAACAGTAAAACAAATACACATATATTTTTACTTTGAGATCTTAAAAAGCACTTTTCAGTTCCACTCTGTACTTTGGAGCCATTTGAGTTTTGCATGTTGTGCACTCAAGACTTATTTAATTAGACTGAAAGGAACTTTTTAATTTGAAACTACTTTTTTCAGTTATAGAAACTACCCAAACCCCAAACATTAATCCACTTCAGATGTCCCTGTTGGAGGAGCTGCACATCATTTTAACAAATCTCCGTCAAGCCTTTGTTCCGCTGCGGAGGAGGTCCACCCCAGTCGGCATAACAGTACGAGCAGCGATCGCCGTCAGTTTGTCACTTTTATGACCACCACACAGCTGACTGCAGCGAGATCTGCAGTGATACATGTAATCGCCTCTCAACGCAGAGAACTTCAGCTCGTGTGGGAGTGAAACGACACGCGAGCCTCCGTAAAGACCCAAACATTCACACAGAGTGGGGTCAGAGGTGAACGACTTGCAAATATATCATGATTCTGGCACTAAAAGGTACAAATCAAAGAGAGGTGTGATGTTTGGGCCAAATGCTCCTGAGTTGGGAGAAAATGGGACTTTGTGGAGTCCCCCCCCCCCCCCCCCAACTCCTTGACTTGGGGAGCTGCAGATGTACATTCATCTTCTGCTTTGCTTGTTTCCAGTTCTGGGCTTGTTCTCAGCAGAAGAGTTTCTGCAAAACCCACTCTTGCTCCGCAACCTTCAGTAAACCAGCCTGTACCCCCCTCCTTTGGTCTCTCAGTTCTCTCCTGAGGGTTTGTAGGGAAAAATAAATATTTTTAGACATTGCAGTCTAGAGCTGCTGTCACTTCTACTTTTTTCTCATTTTTATAAAGCCCTACCATGGGAAAAACATTTTCACCTCCCCCTTTCTCTATGTTTACGCAGTCGCCTAGCCTTTGGCTTCCTACTGCCACCCATCAAAAAAAGAAAAAGAGAGTTTAAAAACAAAGTTGCCCCAGGGTAGGTCACCATAGCAACTACCTTCACCAGAGCAACCCCTCAAAGCGTCCATCTGAAGCTGCTTTCAGTGGTTCTGCAAGTTCAGCAACAGCAGAACCTGAGTTTATGTGCTTGTGCAGAAAGGAGACTGGAAGGCCTCCAGGACTTGGAAAACAAAACAAAACAAAGACGGAGGTGATAGAAATGAAGCCACAGAGAGAGGCACAGATGTCCAACAGCTGATCGCCTCGATACACAGTGTGCAGCTTCTCATTTCAGCGCTGTCCTCTCTGCAACGGGATGACAAAGTTTACTTGCTAAGCCTCGTCGGATCATTGGGACCAAGCCCTGGCATGCAACAACAGCTGGCACACAACATTTTGTTCTTTAGTCTTAAGAAAGCAGAGACACAGATACTATCCAGAAACTCATTTCAAGTCTTAAGTCTTTAAAAAAAAAGATCCTCAAGAAGTATTTACATTTTCCATCTGACCAGAGCCAAATTTAAGTCCTCTCCTCTGGACCATATGGCCTCCTGCTCCCATTCTGTACTACTAGTGTCAAAGAGCAGATCTCATATCCCAGATCACAAGGGACCCACTCTTAATCCACGCAGACTCCGTGCAGCGCCTGCAGCTACACTGTGCTTATTGTGTGCATGTCGGCCCATTGTTGTCTCACACAGCAGAGCAGCTATTAATAGCTCCAGTCTCAGCTGTATTTTAAAATTCATCCCGCTCAGCTCGAAGTCGTGAATTGGAGCTGTGCCACACTCTCGAGGCTGTCTTCTGCAATGGCAAGAAAACAGAGAGCAGCCAAGGTGTTGCAGGGTTCGCTTTTGTCTTAGCTTTTTCACTTAAATGATAGGAAGCAGCTGCCACTTTGGCTTTCAGTACACTTCCTGTTTTATTCTTTAATGCAAAAAGAAGGCTGTGCCTGCAGATTCTTGCAGAAGTCAAACTATATGCATCACATCACAGATGCATCCCTGTAGTTTAATTTATTACCAAAATGTCAATGACGATACAACAAAGTTAAGTCAGGTCCTCTGGATGCCTTCTTTTTTTTTTTTGGTTGAAACTTTTCGTCCTTCATCCAAAGGACTTCATCAGTTCAAGGAGCCACAGCAAACTCGGTCCTATAAGTGGCTTACTCACATAGTGGGCCAACCAGTTTTATGGTGATAAGATGGTTTCTGGAGTCTGCCCTCTCCCCGGTCGACTCCTCTGAGGAAGTCCTTTGGATGAAGGACGAAAGGTTTCAACAAAAAAGAAACCGTCCAGAAGACCTGACTGAACTTTGTTGGATTTTTAAATCTGGATTATTGAGCATGAACTTTAATGTCGGTGAAGATATTTTTCTTTATTTGTTTTGGAGATTGTTGGTTTATGAACCCAGCATTTGAAGTGATTTAAACAAATTGCTAAATTTTGTCCCCCATCACAAAGCAAAGAGAAGTGGAAATACCTTCTGACCTCCCATCCGTCATGTGAGCGTAACTTGAAAAATAAATGAGGTACCAACTTTCCTTTTGGTGTGTGGTTGTGTCTAGGCATGAAAAAGGATTGTTTTGCCACGTCAGAATCCAAGGTGATCACAGGGCTGGGCGATATGGACCAAAATTAATATCTCAATATTTTAAAGATATATCGCGATATACGATATATATCTCAATATTCAAACATCTGCTAAGTTCATGGCACAAAGTAATGCAGACGTGTTCCTGTTTTTAGTATATTATATTGCTTTAAAATGTAGCTGTTTGTGTTTTGTTTTGAATATAATTTTCTTCCATTTATTTTTTCAATTTATTTATTCTTTTGTCTACTGTTGTCATTGTTGTTCACTGTTGGCATCACTCTTTGTTAAAATCAGGTCTCTCTTGTAAATGAGTCCCCGAGGTTCAGTGAGACTAACCTGTAGAAATAAAGGTTAAATGAATAAATGTTTTTTAATTCCATAAAGTAATAACAAATATATATTTTTGAGTCAGTGTGTTGTCCCAATTGTCACACAGGCACATGTATTAACAAAAAGCTGTAACTCTACTAAATGTCTATGTCAAACCCACTTACAAAAGGGGCCAAAATTAAACCCTTTTTCAAACTAATGGCCGGTTTCAGAATCTACATTAACTCAAGTTAGATACCCAACATCTTTTCTTGGTTGCAGGTTCCTCAATATGAGTTTGATTGGTCTCATTTGATGTTCTCTGTTGCACTTTTGACACCATAATCAAAGATTACTGAAAAAAATTACATTTAAAATAACATCATGGGGGCCAGAGAAGATGTCAGCGAGGGCCACATTTGGTCCCCGGGCCTTGAGTTTGACACACGTGGTCTAAAAAATAAACTATTTGCATATATTAAATAATAATCCTCTTGAGCTGCGCCCCCTTCACGATGTTAGTGAGCGTGTGTGAAGCAGCACGTGAGGGAGACGGAGGGGCTGTGTGAAGTTGGAGGTGCAGACGAGAGAAAAAGATCTACACGGATTTTCAAGTCTAATAATACTCACGATGGAGCCACTTTAACTATCGTAAATTGAAAAAATCTTGATACATCGAGTATATTCGATATATCCCCCAGCCCTAGGTGGTCACCATCATATGTGTCAACCAGCCACTTTGATCCTTTAAGGAAATCTTGCTTTCTAGTTTTAATATTGCTTAAAAGTAAAGTTTTCTCAATTGATTGGGGTGGCCAAAGGTTCATCTATGGTGGCCAAGGCTACACCATTGCCCCCAACCTCCCCGGCTCTACCATTGCACCTAGTGGTGGATAAAATGGCTCCCTTCCCATGCTCCGTCACTCACAGCTGCCTCAGACAAGAAAAAAAAAAACTACCTCTGGTCTTCTCCACAATATAACTCCTCCCCACTCGAATATCTTGCACCAAAAAACATTTAGGTTTACTTGCATTCCAGTCCAGAAAAATGACAAACATTCTCTATTCAAATCCCTCAGCTTTGGGGGACATCGGCGCTGCTTGTTTTAAATTATAAAAGTGTTTAACGTGGCGTTTCTTTCTGTCGCAGCCATCCATGAGTTTCCAGAGGACATCTTCACCAAGGAGCAGAGGAAACATGGAGCTGTCCTGCTGCACGCACTCTGTGTGAGTCTCCTTTACCTTCATCTTTGACTCTTCGGCACTAAAACCTACAGCATAAACTGGTACACCTCACAAGCTGGTGTAAATAAAGGCAGTGTTTTATTTGTCCTCTTCCCCCTGCTCATCTGCACGCTCCAGGCCATCTACATGTTCTACGCTCTGGCTATCATCTGTGACGACTACTTTGTCCCTTCACTGAAGAAGATATCTGAGGTGAGGTCTGAACCTGTCCTGGCTTTGACACATCAGTATGTTTTCTTTTATTGTATTCTGTTTTCATGTTTCAGAACCTGCAGCTCAGCGAGGATGTGGCCGGAGCGACGTTCATGGCTGCGGGGAGCTCCGCCCCTGAGCTTTTCACCTCTCTTATCGGTTCGTAGCTCAGCGGGATCTGAACCGCGCAACGGCTGTGATGGTTTCAAGACAGCTTGTCAAAGTCTGCTCTTAATGTTTAAACAGAGAGGCTTAAGTGAGTCTCCCAGGGTTCTGCTGGTTCCAGAATCATCCAGGAGATGTCAGCAGAGTGAGATGAGGACAGATATGCACAAGATGTTCTCTGAGGTGTTGACGAGCGTTAAAGCTTAAACCTTATCTAAACCTCAAAGATAGATTTCTCATGTTATAGCCTCATATAAAAAAAATTATCCTCGTTTCAGAGCCTGTTTGTGCTTTTATCAAATTTAACAAACATGTCTCAGACAGGACACGTATGTTAAAATCAAACTCTTCTTCAGGAGTCTTCATCACGAAAGGTGATGTTGGGGTGGGGACAATCGTGGGCTCTGCTGTCTTCAACATCCTGGTCATCATCGGGCTGAGTGGAATCTTTGCAGGACAGGTAGGACATACTTTTAAGACTTACATCCATCCATCCATCCATCCATCCATGCATTCATCCATCCATCCATGCATTCATCCATGCATTCATCCATCCATCCATGCATCCATCCATGCATTCATCCATCCATCCATCCATGCATTCATCCATCCATCCATGCATCCATCCATGCATTCATCCATGCATGCATCCATCCATGCATTCATCCATCCATCCATGCATTCATTCATCCATCCACCCATGCATCCATCCATGCATTCATCCATCCACCCATGCATCCATCCATGCATTCATCCATTCCATCCATGCATTCATCCATCCACCCATGCATCCATCCATGCATTCATCCATTCCATCCATGCATCCATCCATCCATGCATCCATCCATGCATCCATCCATGCATTCATCCATCCATCCATGCATCCATCCATTCATCCATCCATCCATGCATCCATCCATTCATCCACCCATCCATCCACCCATCCATCCATCCATGCATTCATACATTCCATCCATGCATCCATCCATGCATCCATCCATGCATCCATCCATCCATCCATCCATGCATCCATCCATCCATGCATCCATCCATCCATGCATTCATCCATCCATCCATGCATCCATCCATGCATCCATCCATGCATTCATCCATCCATCCATGCATCCATCCATGCATTCATCCATCCATGCATCCATCATCCATGCATTCATCCAGGCATCCATCCATCCATCCATCCATCCATCCATCCATCCATCCATCCATCCATGCATTCATCCATCCATCCATCCATCCATCCATGCATCCATCCATCCATGCATTCATCCATCCATCCATCCATCCATGCATCCCTTCATGTATTCATCCATCCATCCATCCATCCATCCATGCATTCATTCATTCATTCATTTGATAGAAATGGACTACACACACACATCCATAAAAAATGTTTACGCCCCTCAAAAGCGAGACGTATTATGGTGTGGTTGTGTCACAGCCATAACTTTTGATCCACTCGAGATAATTTAATGAGACTTCAGACACGTATGCATCTTCATCAGAGTGTCGCGTTCACTTTCTCTCACCCCAGCTTCAAGGTTGATGTTGCAAACCAAGGTCACAGCTAAAACAAGGCCTTTGCTTGTTCAGGCCATTGCTGTATAATGGTTCTTTGAGGGGTGTGTGTATATATTGTTTTCTAAAGTGGCCATTCTTAAATCTATTTTTTTTCTTTAAGAACAACATTTCTTGTAACAAGAAAAAGTAAAACAAATTAGGACTGAACAAAGACGCGTTGTCTGTAAATGATTATTTTTACACCAGTAGCCATGAAAGGCAGGTGATAATTATTAGCTTGTGTGTTTGTTTTTCAAGCAAAATATTTGATGAAGCACTGGAGAGGTTTTCATGAAACTTATAGAAAGTAATCACTGAACGTATCGATAAAACAGATTAACTCTTGGGAGTTAACTAAATTAAAAATGGCTGCCTTAGCGAACACAAAAATGGCTCCAGTTCAGTCATTTTTATTGTTATCAGGCTAATATTTTGTGTGGTAGTAGCTGAGAATCACCCCCACACATATTCTGAGCACTAACAGATTGCATGACTTCTTTGTTTAAAACCTTGTCAGGAAGTGCAGCATATGTATTTCTTTAAGGAATGATACTTTAATGTATTTTTTTTGGTCCTAATTAAGATTATTTTTTTCTACTTTAACTTGATGCTTGTTAACTTTCCTCCACAGACTGTGGTCCTGACATGGTGGTCCCTGTTTAGAGATTCCTGTTTCTACATCCTGTCTGTACTCGCACTCATCATGGTGAGATGAACATTTAGACGTCATTACCCTTTATTTCATTGTTTGTACTTTAAAAGAAAATCTGCATTTAAAATAACATTTTGCTCTGTCTTTAGGTTATCTATGATGACCGAGTTGTCTGGTGAGTTGTGTGTGTAGATTTGATCAATTCAGGCACCGTTCATCTTTTTTTGTCGAAGTGGAGCCTTCCTTCGCCCGTTTGCTCAAAGTTTCCTCTTTCCTTGAACAGCGTGTCAGCCTCCCCCTGAAACCACCGTTGTTCCAATCATGGCACTGATTGTGTCGACAGCTTTCACAATCAGAGTCAACTTGTTAAATCGATTAGGTCCATGATTTGTTCTCGACGTCAGAATACGGACTGGATCCTGTCAAAGCTCGTTTCAGAGTCAGCAGATGTGATGAGGGGCAGGGTGGCTGTAAAATAGGTTCTGATTTCTTTTAATTCGTGTGTCAGCTTTGATGTAAATACTGACGCACCGACAGTGACTTGCAGATTGATTTCTTTTTGTGTTGCCGCTCTTTCATCTCCATCACATTTACTGCTTTTGATGCATCTGAACCCCCTGTTCTGTTGACTTGATGCTTTGCTTTAAAGGCTTTTTTTTGTTATTCAAGTATGTGGATTTAATGAAAAAGCAGATTTATTTATGAAGTGACAGTCTGTTGTGGCAAACGATTCTTCAGAGATATACAGCAGGCTGTTTATTGAGCTCCTAGGCTGTTTTCACCTCAGCCCTGAACACAGCTTGACAGATTTGTTTCAGCTGGTTTTTACCAGGATCAGTCTCTGAATACCTGGGACATAAATTTTCACCTGTGCTCATATGGTGTTAATGGCCAAGTAAATGCAGAGAGGAAGGTTAATTTAATCCAGTTCTAGTCTGTGAAATCTGGTGGTGTTTGCTTTTCACAGCAGATTTTCTGCTTCTCAGCTACAGTAGTCCCTCGATACTTCGCGGTTCGTTTATCGCAGACTCGCTCCATCGCGGTTTTTCAAAATAAGATTGCACATGACACACAATTGGCTGATTGACGGATGAGCCGCACGGTCGGCATGGAATTTTTATTTAAAATATTTTAAATTATTTAGCACCTCCTTTGTGCAGCCCATAATGCTGCAGGATAAACTTTCTGCTGCAGCTGATCAGCTGATCAGATGTTCAGTATGCAGAGTGGAGAAGTGGGCGTGGCCAATAGTGCTTGCATGTGGCAAAGAGCAGACCAGACAGTTCACTTATCGCGGGTCTTCAGGGTACGGATCCCCCATGATAAACGAGAGACTACTGTACTTCCATTTAGTCTTTTTTGTAAGCTTCTCCTAACTTTTATGAGTTTGAAGTTAATCAGATTGGATGAACTGTAGTTCTGAGCTGCGACCTTGAGGCAAATGTTTTGGCCATATAACATTAAAAATGCAACATAGAGAAGGCACTGAGTTCATCTTTGTTAATGATGGTGATCCAAACGATAACGGGTCTTTGCCACAAGCATGGTCTTGTTGTAAATCACAAAAACGATCAACTGAAGCAAGTGAAGGTAGATATGTTGCAAAACTTTTGTGAACTTGTAACTATGATTTATGCACCTGTAGGGACAAAATGTGCACTTTGACTGGACCTAATGTGTTTTCAGTCCCAAAAAGACCTTTATAATCTCTCTCTTTTAACTTTAATAAAACAATTTAGGATTTTCACAAATCTCAAACTGTTTGAATGTGTAATGGTATAATTCTGTGTAATAGTGCTTTAACGGTCAGATTGGTGTGAATCGAAAGCCAACTTCAGAGTCTTTGACGACATTAGCATTCACATTTGTTACACAGCTACAAACATCTTAAACTTAAGTTTTAAATCTAAGTGCATAGAAATGACCACTTTGCAAGACTAGTAGACTCGTTTTATTTTTCTGTCTACGTTTTAGTCTTGACTGTCTTTGCTGACCAAGACAGTAGCATGCTAACCTGACTGAACATTTATTTTACTATTCATAATAAAAAGTTCAGGTTTTTTCGAGGAGTGTTACTTTGCTCATCAAAAGCATAAGAAAAATGAACCAAAACAAAGTCTTAAAGACTCTGAGATAAACTTACCCCGGCTTCGTGTGCTATACAGACCCTTTCCAAAAATTAGAATATCATGGAAAAGTTGTTTAACTTCCATAATTGCATTAAAAAAATTATATTTAATAGATAAGATTCAGGGCCCACAATTTAAACGATTTCAAGTATTTGTTTATTTTTACATAATTTAGGCTTCCAGCTCATGAAACCCATAAAAACAGGATTTCAAAAACTTAAAATACTGTGAAGAAATCAGCCCACACTTCAGTTTTTGCAGAAAAAAAAGAAATAAATTAGGATCACAACAAATCAATCAAAATATGATACTTCCAAAACGACATGTCAATCTTCAATACTTGGTTGTGAATCCCTTTGTCTTAATCTCTGCCTCGATGTGACGTGGCATTAAGACAATCAGCCTGTGGCATTGACTGGGAGTTATGGAAGCCCAGATTTCCTTGATGCTTGCTGTCAGCTCTTCTTTGTTGTTGGTCTGGTGCTCCTCATTTTCCTCTTGAGAACACCTCATAGATTCTCAGTGGGGTTTAGGTTCAGCGAGTTGGCTGGCCAGTCAAGCACTGTGGCATGGGCATCAAACCAGGTTTTGGTGCTTCTGGCGGCATGGGCAAGGGCCAGGTCCTGCTGGGAGATGAAATCTGCATCTCCATACAGATCCTCAGCAGAAGGAATCATGAAGTCCTCTAAAACATTCTGGTAGACTGTTGCGATGACCTTGGATTTAAGAAAGCAGAGTTTACAAACACCGGACATTGCACCCCAAATCAATCGTGGATATTTCACACTGGACCTCCAGCAGTATGGCTCTGTTCCTCACCCTTCTTCCTCCAAACCCTTGGACCTTGATTTCCAAATGAAAGCCACACTTTACTTTCATTGGAAAAGAGGACCAAGGAACCCGACAGTTGTAGTCCATCTCCCGGATGCGTCAGAATGTGGTGGTTTTTGAAGCTGTGACTCCCGCCTCATTCCACTCTTTCTGGATCTCTGCCAGATTCTGGAATCTTCTCTGTTTGATAATCTGCGGAAGCCCACCGTCATCTATTTTGCTGGTGCATCTTCTCCTGCCACATTTTGCCCTTCCACTAGACTTTCCATTGATATGCTTGGACACAGCACTCTGTGAACAGCCAGCCTCCTTAGCTATGAACTTTTGTGGCTTACCCGTCCTATGGAGGGTATCATGGATGGTCTTCTGGCCAGTTATATCTGCAGTCTTCCCCATTTTGAACTGAACTGAGCCAATTGAACCAAACTGAAGCAATTTAATGACACCTGGGGAAACCTGTGCAGGTGTTTTGAGTTTAGTAGATGATTAGTGTCACACTCCGTTTAAAACATTCATGCCCTGCAACATTTGGGCTGATTTCTCCAGTATTCTGATCTTTTGAAATCCTGTTTTCTTGGGTTTCATGAGCTATATGCCCAAATTATGTAAAAATAAACAAATAAATACTTGAAATTGTTTAGTGTGGGCCCTGAATCTATCATCTTTTAAAGTTTAACTTTTTGAATTGAATTATGGAAGTTAAACAACTTTTCCATGATATTCTGATGTTTTGGAACGGGTCTGTAGTGTTGATAATCGAGATGGAAGCCGAGTCCAACTGACTGAAAACAAGAAGACCCTCGGAGCTCTCATTCAGATCGGTTGACGCAGAACACACGCCTGTTGCCCTAGCAACACTCATCACCTCCCCCTCAACCTGATCTCGCCTCTTCGAGTACTGCTGACTTTTGCTACAATGCAACCCACAAAATGTGTTGCAAAAGTGTCTTGCACAGAAAGAGTTACCATACCATACCATACCAATTTATTTATATAGCACTTAAAACAGCAACAAGGCCAACCAAAGTGCTGTACAAAAGAACACAAACATGCACAGCAGACAGGAAAACATAAAATAGAAATACAGATACAAATAGCAGCAGAAGCTAACTAAAATGGCCAACGGAGTAGAGAACAGACCGGACCAAAACAAATCACACCGTGTTAAAGGCAAGCGAATAGAAGTGGGTCTTCAAGCGAGACTTAAAGACTGAGAGTGTGGGAGCCTGCCGGACACTCAGTGGCAACTCATTCCACAGTCGTGGACCTGCAACAGAGAAAGCCCTGTCACCCCTGAGCTTACGACGGGTTTCTGGGACTGAGAGAAGCATCTGGTCTGCTGACCTCAGAGAGCGCGGTGGGACATATGGCTGCAGAAGATCAGTGAGATAGGATGGGGAGGAACTGTTCAGTGATTTAAAAACATACATGAGAATTTTGAAATGGATCCGAAGGTGAATGGGTAGCCAGTGCAGGGAGGCCAAAACTGGCGTGATGTGCTGTCTATAGCCAGAGTATAGAGTTGTGCACGCACAGCGAAGGAGTCAAATGTGCAAGAGTAGAGTGGAGCACTCTTAGTGGCAGATTTAAGTTATAACCTTTGAGTTGGAGTTAGAGATGCATTCGGGCCTAAAAAATCCAACCTGACTTGACAATTACCAGTAACTGTAATTACAAGCCCGAACTTGAAAATACAGACATTTATTTATTTTTTTAAGCTTTTACTGCTTTTGTAAGCAAATCAGTTTGACATGATAGTTTTAAAAACATATTTCAAAAAAGGAGGATATAAGATTTCTTGTTTCACCAAATGGATATTAACCAAAGGAATAGCCTTTAAAATCTACTCTATATATAGGTTATCATACAGATGAACAAAAATATTTTTAGAGCAAAATTATTTGGAAAAAAATAGAACAATTCTATTTTAATTGAACGAGCTGCTCACTTCGGCTTTTGTAGATGCTGTTACTTCCTTCATGCAGATAACAGCAGGTGCAGAGACGCGTGCGGCCGGTGATCAGCTGATCAATCTGATCCATCCGAATATTTTTTTTACTTCTTTCAACCGGCCGGTCGGACCTGCCTCCCCATCAACAAGTAGATTAACACAATTTTATATTGTGCATTCTTATTTAGTTTTCTTTGTGCTGTATGATTCGTAAAGCCGCATCAAAAGCTCGAGACCGACCCGGCCCGCCCATGAAGCACATAATTTTGGCCCAACCTGGCTCGAATTATCGGGTCGGACCTGGCCTGGGTTAGAAATCGCAGCTCTAGTTGGAGTTCTACTCATAATATAGATATATATTTTTTAAATACACAATAAAATGACAGATTACATGTTTGTACGGTGTAGTGTTCATTTAAATTTAATTTTACACATTTCACTTTTTTCTTTAACTACTGTGCACGTTCAAAAAACATAACTTAAACTTTGTTGCATGTTACATTTTTAAATACGAGTGCACATTTTTTCCTACAGGTGCACAAATCAAAGTTACAAGTTCACGAGTTTTGCAACATGTCTACCTTCATACAGGCTCAGCCTTAACACAAGGCATGCTAATTAAGATGATCTTTATAGAGTCAGACTAATATTTCGCAGTTATTAAGTGTAATCTTTGCATCTTTTCTGTTTCAAACACTAATGTGCTGTTTGCTGAGCAGGTGGGAGGCCCTGATCCTCATGACCATGTACGGGATCTACATCATAATCATGAAGTAAGTTCTTCCAGCACTGAGCTTCCTGCTCTTTGTGTGTGTGAACTGTGAGGGCCAGCCTTGTTCACTGTGCTCTTTGTTTGGCTGCAGGTTCAATTCTCAGATCTCGGTGTTTGTGATGCGTCAGTTTAGGAGTGGCGGACAGTGCTGCCGCCGATCGGAGGGAAGCCAAGAGAACAAGATGGGAGACGAGGCGGTGCCTTGTAACACCTCCATGGTGCTCCTCAACAAAGGTCGGCCGGTATTAAATATGAATAATCGTGTTTAAAGTGTGTTCAACGTCGAGTCCTGTAACTGTCACAGGGCAGGGTCACGGTCAGGAGCCTCCCCCGGTCATCATGGTGGATGAGCTACTCATCCTCAGCCCCCACAAACTGTCCTTCTCAGAGGCCGGCCTGCGGATTATGATCACCCCACACTTCCCACCGCGCACCAGGCTCTCCATGGCAGGACGCATGGTCATCAGTGAGGTATGTAACACACAGCACCGACGTCACAACACGCAGCAAACTGTGATCAACACCTTTGTTCGTTGCAGAGACTGAGGCTGATCAGGAGCTCCAAACACCAGCAGGACGGCGAGGCTGCTGCAGGGTCAAGAAAAGGGTCGACTGCGAACAGCCTGAAGGGTTTCTACAGTCTAGAAAACGGAGGAGGGAGGCCTGGGATAAAAGACGAGGAGTCCGGAAACAAACCAGGGGTCGAGGTGAGCCGGCCAGAAGACGAGGAAGATGAAGATGAGTATTTTAGTCCGATGCGCATGCCAGGTGAGAACGAGCTAAATTTAATTAAACATCAAGAAATGTTTTTGTTTTTCTAACTGAATAAAAGCCCCGTTTTCCTCTGACTGACCTGTCAGGTGTCACAGGCAGCTGCTCCGCGTGGGTTAGGTGGGTGATCACCTGGCCTCTGGGCATCCTGCTCTACTGCACCGTGCCCAACTGTGTCCTGCCACGCTGGCACCGCTGGTTCATGGTCACCTTTGTAGCCTCCACCCTGTGGATCGCTGTCTTCTCCTACCTCATGGTGTGGATGGTAAGATATGTCTTGTAAGTTGATACGTATGTGGTCCGTTCAGTCCCGATACAAGTGGGGCAAGAGTTGGTTTGCATTGCTGGCAGTAAGTTGGACACCTTCAGGGTGGGACTTGGACTCCGCTCACAGGTTCTATTATGGACATTTGTTGGGGCAGGGGGGAGTCCAGTTTGGTGGCCTTGGGATTCTGTCTCTGCTATTTACAGATGATGTGGTGCAGTTGGCCTCATCCGCTCTCACTGGAGCAGTTCGCAGCTGAGATGAGGATCAGCACCTCCAAGTCTGAGGCCGTGGTCCTCAGTCAGTAAAGTGGAATGGCCTCTTTGGGTTGGGAGTGAAGTTCTTTCTCAAATGGAGGAGTTTAAGTAGTTCAGGTTTTGTTCATTGTGAGGGAAGAATGGAGCATGAGATGGACAGACAGACTGATTGGTGCAGCTTCTGCAGTACTGTATTGTGAACTCTGTGCCGGTCTGTTGTGGTGAGGAGGGAGCTGAACTGCAAGGTGATGCTCTGTGTTTACCGGTGGGTATATGTTCCCACCCTCACCTATGTTCATGAACTCTGGGTAGAGACTGAAGGAACAAAATTACGGACAGGCAGTCAAAATGTAAATGTGTTGTCTCTTCAGACCAGCTGGACTCTCCCTTAGAGAGAGGGTGAGAAGTTCAGTTCAGTTATCCAGGAGAGACTTGGAGCACATCAAGAGGAGCCAGTTGAGGTGTTTTGGGCATCTGGTAAGGATGCACCCTTCCTTAGGGAGGTTCTACGAATATGTTTGATTGGGAGGAGATCCCAGTGAAGAACCAGGACTTATGTCTCCCAGCTGGTCTGGGAGACATATTCACAGTGACCTGTGCTGGTCCACTGTCATTGACCATGGAGTCCTCCCAGAAGAGTTGGAAGAGCTGACTGTGGAAAGAGATGTCTGGACCTCCCTGCTCGAAAAGCTGCTCCCCGACTCCAGAACTAGAGGAATATCTTTTAAAGTGACCGGTGTTTAAGATGACAACATTTCAGAAACGGACCTTATGTGCAGATGGTAAACGATGGTTTGTGTAAGCTCATAAGTGATGCAATATTACAAATCCAGCTGTTTGCAGCTTGTTTTCATGTGTTTGAACAGGTCACCATCATCAGCTTCACATTAGACATCCCAGACTACATCATGGGTATAACCTTCCTGGCAGCAGGAACCAGCGTACCAGACTGCATGGCTAGCCTGATTGTAGCTCGACAAGGTAAAAAAAACCTGGATCTCTTAATCAGTTTTTTCCCGTCCCCGTTTCGTGGCGCCGGGGTTTCACTGCAGTGTTTGTTCCTTACAGGCATGGGGGACATGGCAGTGTCGAACTCCATAGGCAGCAACATTTTTGACATTCTGCTGGGTTTGGGCTTCCCCTGGGCTCTGCGTACCCTCGTGGTGGACCACGGATCTATAGTACGCTTACACCGCCATCTCCATAACAACTTTTTATTTATTTTAAATATTTCTCTAATGATTGATGGTGTGAAATGTGTTTTTACTTTTCCTCTCCTGCAGGTCTCCATAAATAATAAAGGACTTGTTTATTCTGTCGTCCTGCTGCTGGCTTCAGTGTTTCTGACTGTAAGTAAACACAAATGACCTGAAATTAATTCAATGTTAGAATGTCACTAAAGTTCAGGACCAGTTTTTAAACTCAAAGCATTTTGGAGCAGAAAAGAAGTGGAGTAAAAAAGCAGAAACAAACTTTTCCTACATGTTTTGCCTTGAGTTGTATTAAAATGATTTAAATCCAATGAGTAAATTCTATACTATAGTCTGTTATGTTTATTTTAGAGCATTATAGTTCACTTAAGAAATGAAACTTGACTATGTTTGAAATACTGACATACGGTGTGAAATATTGGTTTTATTTGGAGCAGACTAAATAAAAAGGTTCAGTATTGTCCAGGTGTCACTGATCTTTGTTTTGCTCTCAGGTGTTGAGCGTTCATCTGAACCACTGGAGGCTGGACCGCCGGCTGGGTCTGGGTCTGATGTTTCTCTACGTTATTTTCCTTCTCTGCTCCATCCTCTTCGGACAGATGTAAAGGTCTTAAGGTCAAACGTTCACCTGATCGGGTGACTTGTCCGATAGCTCCCTGTCTGCCGCACGTCTTCTCACCTGAAGCCAAAAAGCAACAAAAACAAAAAAAAAACCACGTGTTGTGTTCTACGTGCGCCTCTGTAGGTTTGTTTGGTGATGATGTTCAACTACACAAACACACATGGCTTGTAGAGGGTTGTTGTCCTTTTTGTACAGCGCTGTGTTTGACAAGTCTTTAAGGTTCAAGAAAGAGGACTTGGCAAAAAGTAAAGCAATAGTTCCGATTTTTGATGTGGGGGTTCTATGCAAACGTTATGAACGGTTATTATCTTACATGCTATAGATAGACTGACCTCGGTTTGGAGAAACATTAATTCTGTCAGGATCGACATGAAAACAGCTCGTCTGAGAGGGGACCAAACTAAATTATCTGCCGTCATCTTAAAACGCCAGTCTTTTTCAGTTCGCCCGTCAAAAGGCGGACGTGTTGAGCGATCGTCTCCGTCAGTAAACTCTCATTTGTCCCGCCTATAACTTCTGATCCTCGCAATATAATTTAACAAAACTTTAGACGTAGTGTCACATACATGTTTCATCACCCCAGCTCTATGGCAAAGGTCACAAATCAAGGTTAAACGTTTCAAACAAAGTTTTGGCTTGTCCGGGCCAAAACTTCTAAAAATAAAAGAAGTATTTAATAATGAATGTGCTTTAGGAATTTAACAGAGCAGTGTTCTGTTTCGTGTAAACTACACCCTTTAAAAGCTGTCGCTATTGGGTTTACCCAGCATGCCACGTGCCGAACACTGAAACTTCTAATTCACGCCCACCCGGTCCATTATAAATTGCATTTGGCTCTGAATTTGAGGGCTCCGGTCGCCTCCTACGCGGCCATCACAAAAGTCAAGGGGTTCACGGACAAAGGCTTCCCCACCGTCCCTCCTCTAGAACCCAGCTTGTCGACAAAGTGGCGACAAACAATATTGCGATGCTAGTCCTTAGCTTTTCTAAAGAAGCAAAGGAGCCGAACCCTTTCTCTGCAGACCTGGACCAGATCTGCACAGTGGCGGACACGATTACCAACCTGTGCGCTGCACTCGCAGCGTGTCCTGCTCACATCTCGTCCAGGGCAACGGTGCTACAGAGGCAGATGGGCTGAGACTGTCTCCATCCATCCCGGAGGATGTTAGAAAAGATCTTCTGGAAGGACCGGTGTCCTCAGACGGCCTGCTCAGACCTCGCTTCGGTCGTGAACCAGCGTCTTCACCTGACGCCCTGGAGCAGGTGAGATGAAATAAGTTGGGTTTTTGATGTGGGAAATAAAAAACCTACTCATTCCACCAGGGTGATTTCTACGTCCACAGCTCTGCACAGAGGGGTGTCTGTGCAGGACATCTGCTCTGCGGCTTCATGGTCATCACCGACCCCCTTCATCCGTTTTTATTTACGAAATGTCTCCAGCTCTTCTCTAACGCATTCAGTTCTCAGAGTTATGTCAGAGTGATCCTTCACAGTCACACAACTGTTTCATTATTAGTGGGCGTTTACTCGTTCAAGCAGGAAAACTTCCTTTTTTGCTCATTAGAAGTTTTCTCTTATTCCTCTGGTCGCCTGATATGAATAAACATTCCTTCAGCTAAGATCAGGCACAGAGGCTGCACGCTTGTCATCCAGTACGCACCAGGTACATGGATCAGCGGTGCGTAATTACGCTTGAATGGAGAATGGGGTTTTTAGGCAGATGTCGTGCGTTTATGGTTCTCGGACAGACCCAGCGAGGCATGGACCATATCCTGCTCCGCCCTTTAAACCCAATAGCAACAGCTTTTAAAGGGCGTAGCTTACACTCATAAAATCTGGGGTTACAATATGTTAACATTTTTCCCCTAGGTCACTTGCCTTGGCAGGGCACTCATCTCTTCTGTGAGTTTTGTCGATGGGGGTGGGTGGAGACAGAGACGTGTCTGTGTTGCCCGCTTAGCATGAGGGACTAAGCGCTACCTCTGTGGCGTTTTAGCTAGCACGTCTGTAATGCGTGCTGCTAGCTTAGCATTACAGCAGTGCCATCAGTTGTCAACTGGAGAGTGTGTGGGGGGGGGGGGGGGACTTCAGTAGGCAGGGCGTGGTTCTGTTGACAGGGCGGGGCGCCCTCCTTGTATAATGGTAGGGGAAACACTGCAGTGAATGTTGTGGGAAATCAAAGACATGATGATGCACAAGTCCCAGTACACTAAGGTCTAACCAGTCATTGTAATCATTATGTGACTTTAGTCATGGAAGTTCAGGGGTGGCCTGCAGTGATCACACGGACCTCAGATACCACTTTGGATTTGGATGTCTTGTGTTGGTGATATTTATTTTTTATTATTTAACCTTTACTGAGATCACAGAACTCTTCTTCAAAAGAGGCCTGGACCTGAAGGCAGCCTAACATGCATGTTTTTGGACTTTGGAAGGAAACCGGAGTACCTGGAGAAAACCTACGAGGAGAACATGCAAACTCCACCCAGAAAGACCCCAGGTCCAATTCAGGGTTCAAACCCAGAACCTTCCTGTTGTGAGGCAACAGTGCTAACCACTAATCCATCGTGCTGCCTGATAGATGTTGAATCAGCTATGTGGACACAAAACTAAGGTTAAATACAAAAAATGACAACCTGCAAATGTTTTTTTGCTTCATTCCAGAGTCACAATTTAAAAAAAACAAAATGATACTCGAGCCATTGCTGTACAACAATTTGTCAACGAGCATAAAACGTGTCGTATACGGTACTCTTGTTTAGATCGGAGTTGTTTTTGGACTAACTGTTTGCTTGTCAGTCCAGTCAGATTTAAACTCCACATCTCCAACCTGTGGTCGTTTAAATAACCGTCTACAACAGGTAAGATATTAATTGCTCATCATGTTTCTACAGAACCCGACTTCAAAAGATCCCAATTACCTCTTTTTACTGACCCGGCAGAAGAACGCCGCGGTGATATTAGAGCTCATTAAAAACTAAGCGAGGCCAACGAAGTGATAAAAGTTGTTGCCGTTTTGTGGCAAATGTTTTGTTTAGAATAAATAATCTGAGCTGACATTAGCTGCAGTACTTTTGGGCCCTTTCTGTCATCGGTTACAAATTAAAGTTTAAATTTTCATGCATAATCTCAATGTTAGTTTTAGCTGATTGGCAAATAATAAATGCCGTCAGTGTTTCAATAAAGCAGCTAGCTGCTATGATTTTATTTATAAATTAGATTTATGTTGAACTGCTGCAGCAGCAAAGATGCAAGACAGGCGAGTTCATCTTCGTCACAAGCACAAGTCTTCTTTAGTTGAATCAAAACTACAACACGGTGCTGAACGGACCGTCTGTGGGGGAGGAGGAGTGATTTTTAAATAGCAGCACTTATCAAACGGCACGTTTTGCACAGTTGCAGTTAAAGGTTTGCACGACTCATCAAATAACTACTGCTGTGTCATGTTTGGGACTCCAACATGTTCTGAATGTAAACCCTCGCTGGCGTTAGCATCAGGGTGGAAAAGAAAGATTTTAGAAAAATCCAGATTCAAATGCTGATTATAATAGTTGGTCAGTTGTAACGACAGGTACCCCGAGTTAAAGAGAACAATCTAATAACCACAGGATTTTTATTAAATGTTTTACACACTTCAGTGACTTCCAGGTCAGGTTGGAGACATTTAGGTACGACAATCGATGCGCTTCGTTTCTTTAATTTACCTTTGATGGGAAATTAAATCAAACACTTTAGATGTGTAATTTATGGTAAATAATGCTGCATTTACCACATATATAAATACTCTTCCTTCAGTTTATGGGGGGAGGTAAAGTTGAACCATTTGGGCACATTTTACAGTTTTTGTTTTATGAAAAAACTTCCAAGTATTTGGTACTTTGAGTATTAGATCTGTGAATTTTACGTTTCATCAAAGGGATCCTGGGATGGTTTTTTTCTTCCAGGTGCCGTATATTTGTCTGTTTAATAATCTTAATGTTTATAATAGACATAGTTTTACAGGAATGAATGTCCTTTAGAAACTCGTTTTGTGGTATTTTAATATTTTTTAAAGAATGATGTAAACTTGTAACAAAACGAGCACTCATTTGTAAATGTTCAGTGGACTCTGAAAGCTTTAAGTCAGTTCCTTTCGTCTTTCAGCTTTTTACACTTTCGGTTTCTTTACGTCTCCACTGTCGTGTTGAATTTTATTTTACGAGCAGGAACACTGAAAATTTATTAAAAATTGAACCAAAAAGGCTCAAAACTTGCTGCTTTAAAAGCTACAGTTCTATATTCTTCTAGTTCAAGCTAACAGAAACTGAATCTTTGAATGTTTAATTTAATTACAGAGGAGCGCGTTATGAAAGTGTCCGGTTTTTATTTTAACGTGTTGGTGTGTTTTACCTGATGCACAATCTTTTTCCATCCTTGTTTTTGCCAGGAGACGACTCATCAGTGTGAATTATTTTTGTTTTCACTCGGATGTCAGCTGTTGTACCGCTCCTGATCCAGATTTGGCAATATTAATAAAAATAATCGTAATAATCCAAACAGATGAGCTCCATTCTCCGAATAATGTTTCATTTCTTCTGCTGTGACGTTGGAGGTAGATGATATTTTAGAGTAAAACTTACTGCTTTACACGATGTATTGACCATTAGGAGACTGTTGTATTTTAAGTGCAATAAAAAAAAAGTGCAATAACTAATTTTTTAACCCGTTATTTCCTGTTGGAAGCAGCAATCCTGAATGGGGATAAAAAAAATAAAAAAATGTTTTTGTTTGCTCCATGTTTTCTTAACACGTTTGCAGCTTTTTCACAATCATGGATCCTTTTCGTCCCGTCACGAAGCTAAGAGGAGGAATTGGAAACACCCTTCATCCGTCCTGTGAGCTGGATGACTTGGAAAATATGTGAGGGGCTGACGTCCATTTTGGTGTGGCTGCATCTAGGTACAAGGTCACCATCGAAAATAAAGTTGCCACATCAAAATCCACCAATATATCGTTTCAAGAAACCACTTTCTAGTTGTTGTTTTAATTGCTTAAAAGTATAGTTCCTCAAATGTTTGGGGTGGCCTAAGATTAAACTATGGGGCCAAGGCCACCATTAGCCACCCTCTGGCTCCATCATTGCAGCTGGTTGTGGATTAAATTGCTCCCTCCACAATCTGTCAATGCGCTGTGACTTTTTAAAAATTTAATCTAAAACCATTTTTTTGAAGTAAATTGAATTTCACGTTTAAAAGATGAAATTATAAAGTTCCTAAACATTTTTCTTGGATTTTTCCACAATTTATTTTTATTGATTGCTCAGATTAACTTAAATGTATTGGTTGAAGAAAAACAGCAGATGATGATAGTGCCTAGTATTTTATTTTCCTGAAGACTTTTATACAACGTTCCATCACAATCCAAATAAAATCCACCCCAACCGTGTAAAACTATCTTTAAATATCACCGAAACGACAAACAATTCTCTCCCAGTTCAGAAACCGTCGTAATAAACAATAATTACACAGCAGTTGTGATGAGATTAAGAAGCTGAAAAATGTTCGTGCACGTTCCTTTCAGAGGCCGGATGCTTGAATCTCCCTCGGTTTGACGTCTAATCGCAACAAACTTCTTGTTTTGTTAGGAGAGGCTCAGCTGAGACCTGGATCACAGGATTAACTAGAAACCACCTAAATCCCACAGCGTCAGGTATGCAACATTACCGATGAGTACAAAAACAAATGTTCGAGAGAAAGCAGGAAGTTTAAAACGTGAGCCAAAATAAACCGAGTGATCGTGTAATGCTTTAGCATGGTTAGTTGGCTAACGTGTTAGCGTGGTTAACGTATGTTACACGGCTTCCCAACAGCTCAGACGGTCCCTGAACATGCAGCAGTTTCACTGCACAACATGCAGACGCTGCAGCCGTCCTCCGTTTATCTGCAGCTCGTATTAATTAAACACTGACGCTCTTTGAGGTAAAGCAGTTTTCCTTTAGGCCTGCCACAGAAGGAAACCTTTGCATAAAACAACCGTGAAAGCAGGAAAAGACCCGGCAGTCTCCTCAGAACTTGAGTCCCCGTCCTCACAGCATCCAACTCCAGCTTCTGTATTGCTTTGTGATCCAGTGACGTTCTTCTTGAACTGCATTAAAATAACTTAATGGCGTCGCACCAAACCCGCCCGGTGCAAATAATCAACTGCTAGAACACAGAATATATTCCCGTCACGTGAAAGATGCAGGTGGGATTAGTTTTACAGAGAAGCCGTGTCTGTCACGTCCGTCAGGCGGGCAGGTGAAGTGCTGGGCGCTCATCGCTGCGGTCTTCAGGTCCAGAGAAAAGCTGACGGTAATCTCAGAATAAAAGCCCAAAACCAAACAGATGATCGAGAGATTAAAGTCTAATCTGGCATCCTTGGGAGTTCTGGGGGGGGGGGTTATCATCATCCAGGTTGTGTCTTGTAGCGATGCGAGTCCAGATGAAACCCAAATCAGCCCCAAAATAAGGCGAGTGATGAGTTCTAATATTAAACATTTAATTTTAAATTCCTTACATATTCAACTCTAAAATATAATATAGAAATATATAAATATTATAAAATGTGTTTTAACCATTATGAGTAAGCATGGGCGTGCCGTTTACAGTTTTATGAGCTCCGTTTCATAAAATTCTGTACTTTGGAGGATAGAGAGGAGGCTTTAGAAACTTCAGGTAAAGAGCCGAACAAAACGTTCAGCTGTTTGTGCCGCGTCAGGAGCGTAACAGTCGTGGCTAACAGGCCGGGCTGCTAAAGTTTACTTCCCTTTTCACAGCTGCTCGGATCAGAGAGAACACCCTGAGGTCAGCCGGTCAGGGAAGGTCATCGCGTATCTTCAGGGACAAGCCAGTCTGCTGCAGGACGGGCGGGGGGTGACTGGGCCGGCCGGTGCAACCATCATGATGCCAGTTGGTTCTGGTATATGGACGCTTTGTCTTTCAAACGGTCCAGACATAGATGGCAGCTCCAGCTCCCTGAACACATCACAGGAAAACATTCTGCTTTCACGAGCTTAAAGATGATTATTTCCCTCCTACAGTTATAAACAGTGCAGCTCTGATTCATGAAGCAGGCCCAGATTTTCAATCTCTGCAGACCTGGATTATTTTAACTTTTAAGAATATTTTATTTTATTATTAAGCAAACTTCTTGCCCGCAGAAAACATGGGAACTTTGTTAAAAGTTAAAGAATTTAATGTAAGGCCATGTCTGAAAAGTGGAAACACTAACGAGATAAAAAACCTTCGTGTGGACAAACGGTCACTTTGCTTTTAAGAAACAAACCAATATTTTAGAGTTCTTCACTCGTGAGTTTTGGTAGAATTGTGCTTTTAGATGCTGCTCTCTGGTGTGCGGCTGCATCTAGGTATAAGAAAGGTCCCCATTGAAAACTGGGTTGCCACATCAAAATCCAAGATGGCTGCTGCTGTATTTACAGGTGCTGGTCATAAAATTAGAATATCATGAAAAAGTTTATTTCAGTAATTCTATTCAAAATGTGAAACTTGTATATTATGTTCATTCATTACACACAGACTGATATATTTCAAATGTTTATTTATTTTAATGTTGATGATTATAACTGACAACTAATGAAAACCCCAAATTCAGTATCTCAGAAAATTAGAATATTACTTAAAACCAATTTAAAAAAAGGATTTTTAGAAATGTTGGTCAACTGAAAAGTATGAGCATGTACAGTACTTAATACTTAGTTGGAGCTCCTTTTGCCTGGATTACTGCATCAATGCAGCGTGGCATGGAGTTGATCAGTCTGTGGCTCTGCTCAGGTGTTATGAGAGCCCAGCTTGCTCTGATGTGGCCTTCAGCTCTTCTGAATTGTTGGGTCTAGTGTATCACATCTTCCTCTTCACAATACTCCATAGATTTTCTATGGGGTTAAAGTCAGTAGAGTTTGCTGGCCAGTCAAGAACAGGGATACATGGTCCTTAAACCAGGTACTGGTAACTTTGGCACTGTGTCCAGGTGCCAAGTCCTGTTGGAAAATGAAATCTGTATCTCCATAACGTTGGTCAGCAGCAGGAAACAGGAAGTCTCAAACTTCCTGGTAGACGGCTGCGTTGACCTTGGACCTCAGAAAACACAGTGGACCAACACCAGCGGACATGGCACCCCAAACCATCACTGACTGTAGAAACTTGACACTGGACCTCAAGCAACATGGATTCTGTGTCTCCTCTCTTTCTCCAGACTCTGGGACCTTGATTTCCAAAGGAAATGCAAAATTTACTTTCATCAGAGAACATAACTTTGGCCCACTCAGCAGATGTCCTAGGCAAGATGCTTCTGACTCTGTCTCTTGTTCAAGAGTGGCTAGACATGAGGAGTGTGACAGCTGAATCCCTTGTCTTGCATACGTCTGTGCGTGGTGGTTCTTAAAGCATGACTCCAGCTGCAGTCCACTCTATGTGAATCTCCCTCACATTTTGGAATGGGTTTTGTTTCACAATCCTCTCTAGGGTGTGGTTATCCCTATTGCTTGTACACTTTTTTCTACCACATCATTTCCTCCCCTTCGTCTCTATTAATATTAATGTGCTTGGACACAGAGCTCTGTGAACAGCCAGCCTCTTCAGCAATGACCTTTTGTGTCTTGCCCTCCTTGTGCAAGGTGTCAATGGTCGTCTTTTGGACAACTGTCAGGTCAGCAGTCTTCCCCATGATTGTGTAGCCTACAGAACTGGACAGAGACCATTTAAAGGCCTTTGCAGGTGTTTTGAGTTAATTAGCTGATTAGACTGTGGCACCTTCTGGTCTTCAATATTGAACCTTTTCACAATATTCTTATTTTATGACCAGCACCTGTAAATGCAAATCAGACATGCCCATCATTTGATTTGAGGAACCCGCTTTCTAGTTTTTATATTGCTTCAATGTATAGTTTCCTAAAATGATTGGGAAGGCTGAAGTTTAATCTATGCGGGCCAAGGCCACCATTGGCCACCCCCTTGCTCCATCACTGCACCTGGTAGTGGATAAAATTGCTCCCTCCACTCTCTGGGATCAGTCACTTTGTGACACAAATTGTAAAATAAAAGCTCACATCACGTCGGGTCATGTTGGAGTAAAATGTCAACATTAATGAGATTCTTTCATTTTTTTAAACCACACAGTCCTACTTCCACAGCCATGACTCAGATCTTAAAATGATTCCTGTGTATGACGGTGCGTGTACCTTCAGGAGGTTCAGACATGGGAGGGTTGAGACAGTACATGTGGTAGCCTCGGTCACAGTCATCACAGAAGAGGAGCTGATCCTGGAGGAACCAGAACAGAAACACGTGAGCTCTGAGGTACAGACCATAATACTCGTGGTGTTCGTATGTTTGCAGCTGCATTCGTCCAGCCTGTGAGAACGATCACGGAGCTCAGGCGTGTAACTCTGAGCAGCACTGAGGGTGAACTCACGTCGTTCTCCGAGGTGCCACACATGTTGCAGCATTTACACTCGATGCACTGCCAGCGGTACGTCTTCACGGCGGCCATCATGACGGGAGTGAACTGCAGGCAGGAGGGGTGGCCTGCCAACAAACACAAAACAGAAACTCTCATCTACGTGGGCACGAGATAAACACCGATCTGTTCTTGTCCGTGAAAGCGTAACGTGCCTGAGCGTCCGCAGTCGGAGCAGGACACCAGCTCCTCTGATTGGCCCGTCTTGTGATTGGTTTTGGAGTCTCCCAGGCAGAAGTCACAGTAATTATTCGGCAACGCGAGACCGTCTGGACCCTTTTTAGGAGCTGCTCAGAAAAACGTAAAACACACGGCGTCAATAATAAAAGAAACGCCCTGATTTGACCTTTGACCTCATCTCTTACTTTTCGGCTCGTTGGGCAGCGGCAGAGGAGGCTCGTTGATCTCCGTATCCTCCTTCTCCTCCCCCTCCTCCTCAGCCAGGTGGGAGTGGGCGTAGTGGTAACTCAGGCCTGGACGGTTCTTGTAGCGCTTCCCACAGACTGCCGCCAACATCACAAATAAAGAAAACGAATGCATGAATATGAAAACATGAAACACCGCTTTGTTTCAGGCTTCATTTTGAGAAGTTTACATTTGAATGAAACTTTAACAAAATCATTCTCTAGAGAGATAAACGTTAAAAACTGCCACAGGCGTTTATTTTTATAAATGTCGTCTGACAGCGACCTAGCTTCAATTAGACCCATTATTCTGAACATAAAGTTAAAAACACGAAAACAAACGTTAGATCGGACTCTTGTGGTCGTTTGACAGGAAGTCACTTGAACCCACCGGGTCTCTGTGGCTTCCAGCTGTGCACCAAACTAAACCATGACATGTATTGATGATTCAATTAGAAAACGTGGAAAAACAAAAAGAAGGAGGTTTTTATGAAAGGTCCACACATTCTGACAGTTTATTGACTCGTAACTTGAAAAATTCATTGAACACTAAATTATTTTTGCCAGCTTTTGACAAAATAAGTATAAACTTGAGGTTAAAACTTAAAGTGGTTCAGATGGTTTTAAGTCAAGTTTTACAGCGAGCCTACGAACAATCAGTCCCTTACTAGTTATTAAAAAAGCTCTTTGAACAGACTCGGGTTGGACCGTCCTGACCAGCTCGACGAGCTAACGGCTAGCTCCAGCGCATTTTGTTAGAACAACATCAGTCACAAACATTTTACAGAAGTTTCATGTGATCGCTGCCCTAGAAACGCTTACATTACCGTCCATTTCACATCACGCGGTTATTTACATTGAATTTTAGCTCGAAGCAGTTCTGAAGCACCTCTCACTAATCTTTCCCACTTCCTGGTCCACAGTTTTTATGACCTCTACTCTTCTTTCTCTTTCATTCCCTCCATTCATTCGCTCCTCAAAGTACTGGTACTCCTTCCATCTTCCCGTCAGACTCTCCTCACTTGTTAAAACGTTACCATTCCTATCTTTAACAAGCCTAACCTGCTGCACATCCTTTCCAGCCTGATCCCTCAGTACAAGTCCTTCTCGCCCTCTTTAATGTCCAGCCGCCCATACAACTCATCGTACGGATTGTAGACTGTAGGATTATCACAACATTTCAGTGGTTGTTTTATTGTAATACTAAACTGACTGTAAAATTTAAATTAAAAAAAAAAACATATGAGACGCTTTTTTAGAGAGGAGTTAGTTTAAGACGACAGCAATCCACTTTGGACTAGCCATTAGCTCATCTATCTGGTCACAATTAAACAGTTTTCCTTCTCAATGAACCATCTACAACAGGTAAGATATTAACTGTTCATAATCTTCATTGTTTTATAAGTTATGATAATATTTGTTCCACTTATTTTTATGAAAATGATGACTAAGCAGATATATTGCATAGTAAGTCAATTATATGTTTGGATTTTTAACACTCCTAACTTTTTCAACTCAGCTTCAGCGAAAGCAATGACGAAATATTTGAGATTAAAGATGTTTCAACAATATTCCTAAACTTTCTAACTGTCTATTAACAAGTGAGGCGGTGGGGATAGCATGCAGGGGAATTCACACTCTTTAAAAAGCACAAAGACGACAGTGTGTGAAGCCTCTCATGAGGGCTGTGATGTTTGTCATCAGATAACGATGAAACGCTTCTTTCACTTCCACACCAGCTCTCGTTTTCATTTCCCTTAACCAGTGCTGCTTCATCGTCCGTCAACAGAAAATGTATCAAATGTTTGGGAAGCATGCCGGGTGAGTCACCACGAAGATTTGGAATCGAATGTGGTGGCATTTAAAAAAAAATAATAATCGAAAGGTCGAATAGACGGCGTTTAGGGAAAAACAGAGAGTGAGAATATTAACTTACACCAAACAGCAGCAGGTTCAGGCTCAGGCCCGACAGGAAAATTACATTTACTGGCCACGGAAAACTGATACAGCTGGTGTGACTAACTTTCTAACCTTGTTAATTTCATAAATAAAGCAAATCTAACACAGACAACACAGAAAGTAAAAGCAGTGGAGAGAAAGGAAGGTAACGAAGAGAAGTGTACCTCTTTCAGAAGATTTGGAAATATGCTTTTGTTTGATAGTGTCTGAAAGAGAAGAAAAAAAAGAAGAGAGCACCGAGAGGGTCCGGAGGAACAGTCAGCTGCTGGAAGTGAAAGTGCTTCACAGTAAGAGGAAACGTTTACACGTCAAGCAGCACAGCTTCAAAGTCAGAAAACACCTGAGGTGGAAGAATAATAAAAGAACAACTCGGGAGTGACGTCAGAATGAAAGCAAGCATCATAAAAGTCAGACTGAAGACGCTGAGCAGAGGTGACTCAAAATGCTGCTTCAGGCTTAAAGAGGTGGCAAACAGAATGAACATTAATGTTTGAAATGTCCCTTTAATTTAGCCCCCCGTGACTCACTGTCACAGGCGTAGGGCTTGTCTCGGTCCTCCTGAGCTGCTGTGTCCAGCTTCTTCCTGCTGCTGCCCACTCCTCGTCCCTGTGGACATTTCTGGCGTCAACAGACAGGCTGGGACAAACAAAATATAACAACGTCTGTTCAGTGAGGCCGGAGCAGTTTTACCTTTCCTTTCCCTTTGCCCCTTCTTTTGGGCGTGTCCTCCTCATAGTCTTCATCGTCCAGGTCATCCAGGAAGTCGTCTGGCTCCAGGATCCTCTGCTTCGATGAGAGAATGTTAGATTTTCTGAAACGCCACAGAGTTTTAAAGGAAATTCTGTGGACAGGAAACAAAAAAATAAATAAAAAAACACCTTTCTTATTCGGGACGCGGGGTTCAGGCTTCCTGTGTAATCACTCTGGTTCAACTCTTCCTCAGAACCCCGGAGGTCCGCAGCCGCCCGTTTGTCCAACGACTCCCCCTTCAGCAGAGCCTCCAAGCTGCTACCATCCGATGACAGCAGACCGTCCTTCTTCAGCCCCAAATCCAGCTCTTGGAATTAAAACAAAACAAAGAATCACAGAAGCTTCCATCTGATGCACACAGCCGCTCACACAAATCAACATTTATGTCACTTCCTTTGTCATTTAGAAAAACGGTGAAGAAATGTCGCAGCTTTTCTTTAGCAACATAGAAACCGTGGTCTGGTTTTAGCACCTGGTGAATGAACGGAGCTCGTTTTCTTGCTACCTGACTTGACAGGAGGAAAGATGAGCCGCGGATCCTCTGAAGGATGAGACCTCCGTTTCTTCCTCCACCTCCTGGATGGATACGTGTAGAGCTGCCCTGGAGCCACGCCTGAGGAGACAGCACATCCATCCATATATAACACTGACTTAACCCCATTTCAATCCATGAATGCTTGCCAGACTGATGGAGAAGGGGAACCCCCCCCCCCCCCCCGCTGCAAACCATAACAGTTCTACCGCTTCTATTAACACGCCTGTTGTTCACAACATTTCTGTGAGCATTGTTCGGAGTCCCACCTGGTCCTCTGTGTCTCTTCTCCATCCAGATGTAGCAGTTGCTTTGCGCCACGCCGGTCTGAGAGTCCAGGAACGGCATTCGAACGCTCCTCTCGGCGCAGAGCCGGGCGTTGTAGTTGTGACACTGCTCAAGGGCATCTCTGTAGCACTGCTCCCCCAACCTGACCAAACAGAACCGAATGGTAAACTGGGTCTACAGCGGCCAAGGGAGAAAAAGTTACAAGTGTCTTCATTTCTAAACTATAAGCAGTTTTAATATCCTGCTAAAAAACACCTTCTTGCGTTTGTTTTAGCATTAATATTTTGTGTGGGTTATTTATTTATCATCAGGCTGACACTAAGTACACCTCCCTATCTTACCGCGATTAAACCTTAAAGCAATGGAAATTAAACAAATTGTCTTATCACGCGGCCAAAAAAGTCCGTCTGCTCGTAACAAATCTTTAAAATGATTAGTCATCTGGAACGAGTGTCAAGCTTTAACGAAATAATACAGTTAGTTTATCTACAGACGCGTTTAAAACCGATTTAATCAAACTCCTGTGCATCTTCATAAACACGAGAGTGACTATAAAACAGGAGTTATAATTCAGTCTGGGTAAAACTCAGCAAAGACGCCACCAAACCTCAGAGTGATAAATTAGAAAATGTGAGCAAAAAAATCTGAAATAAACACTTTTACTGACTCGAACGCAAACAATAGGATCTTAAAATCTGTTCTGCAACAAAGTGGAAACAAACAAACAACAACAACAAAAAAGCAGAAACGGGTGAAACAGTCTCGTGTTGACAAGACGGTGAACTTTACGACACAAAGACCGCAAGACAGCCGATTTAACAACTACAGTAAGTACATACATTTTAAAAAAGTTTAAGTGAATTGATTAATGACGTGGCTTAACTTTAAGAAGGAACGGGAACAAAAAGGGTTAAGCTGGATTACTACATATTAGTATACAAGTTATAAAAGTGTAACAGAGTAGGTCAGGCTGAGGATGATCTCCAGTTTAACCATCATTACGGTCCAGTTTTGTGTTTTATCGTTGTTTAAACTGTTCAAATGTTCGGTCATTTTATTACGTTTGCACTATTGAAACGTTCATGCGAGCTGCCCAGGTCTGTCTTACAAATGAGGTTTTAAATCTGGTTCAATAAATCAAATGAGATGAATTCAACATAATTGGTTTTAGGTAAAGAAGGATCAAAATAAAAGCAGAACTGACTTAAAGACCAGACCTATCTGGAGTTATGTTTTTGTGTGTGTGTTCATAAGGTGAATATAATTATACAAAATGTTGTATATATGTGTGTAAAAAAAGGGAGGTAGTGCCTTTAATTAACACTAACTACTTTGGTTTTGACATTTTTAATTGTCTTGACAGGCACATTTACACAATGATTGAAAGTTGACAAGTGTTGCCTCTTTAAAGACCAACTTGAAGCTTTGAAGGGCCACAGCTCTCCTGACTCGTGTCAAGTCTCTGTGATTAGGGCTGAACCGCCGGTAATTACACAGTGTCATTAACCAGGGTTTAGACGGCACCACAACCCGCCGCGAGACAACGGAAATGGAAGTGGGTTGGCGCTTCGGCTCTTCAAAGAATCCAACTTTAAAGAGTAAAAACAGCGTCTGTGTGCAAAGTTACACCGTGACAACAACTCTGTCCACTAAAGCTAAACTCTGGAGTTCAAACATCTTCAACCTCGGTCCTCCATTCATCCTAAACTAGTCGCCGTAAACAGTTTAGCTTGTTAGCGACTCACCGAGCTGACGTTAGGAAGGCGACAACCAACAGAAGTAACCACCATAAGACGTCGAGAACGCTTAATTTATACGTCTGCCTCTACACTGCCCTGCCACTTAAGAGTTACGAGTTGAAAACATAATAAATAAATTAAAAAAAACATGTTAGCTGCGTGTCCGCTAACTTACACTTCCATTCCAGGATGTGAGCAGACAGACGCGACGTTCTGACCGGGTTAACTTTAACTAAGTCAAGCTGGTTAAACAGTCAGAGACCGAGTAACCATCCGCCCGGTTGTGCCGTGACCTCGGTGTGTGTCACCTGCGCAGGTGTGCGGGGTGTAGAAAAGTCCAGCACTTACAGTTTGACAACATTCTCAACAACAGCTGCCATCTTGCTTTAAAACACGGTGAAAGTGGCTGCTGGGTAATGTGTGCCCTCTGTCTGGACTTGTAGGCGGGAGGAGCAGAAACCGGAACTCGGTCGCCACCTACTGGTAGTATGTTTTGTATGTTTTATTTATTCATTTCATTTCATCCAAAAAACAAATACAATTTAAAGAAAAGAAAAAAGATATACAATCACAGAAATGAAATGAAAGGCAGCAGAAGAAGAATGAGTTCTTATAATATCTGCCCCTTGCCCCCAAAATATATTCCCAACAAAATTACTATACAAAAGCAAGATGAATAAAAAAAAAAATAAAAAAAACTTAGCTAAAATATAAGATCAACTGTAAACAATTTTTATGAACTCACATTATACTTAATATTTAAAAAAAAAAAAATTTTTTATCATCCTCTTGAATATGTACATAGTTTTGGCATTTTTAATATCAACCTCCTGATCATTCCACAATCTAATACCCTGAGATCTAGTGGATCGCATCTTCAGACTGGTGCGACACCACGGCTTCACAAACATCTCCATCCCCTTAAGATAATAATTACTTTCTCTTTTAACAAATTTCCCTTGAATGTTAGTAGGTAGTATGTTTTTGTTGGCCCCATACATAAACAGTAAGATATTGTAATCAACCAAGTCATAAAATTTTAATATCTTTAGCTGATGAAACAATATATTTGACGGATGGTTATAATCTTTTCTGGTAATAATTCTTATGGCTCTTTTCTGTAAAATAAAAATTGGATTTGTAATTGTTTTACATGCTTTACCCCAGACTTCAATACAGTAAATTAAATGTGGAACAATAATGGCATTATACAATAGAAACATTGCTTTATCATTGAATAACACTCTAACTTTGTACATTACTGCAATCGATTTAGCTATTTTAGTTCTTAAGTTTTTTACGTGAGATCTCCATGTTAGTTTTTCATCAATGATGACACCCAGAAATTTCACCTCATTGACTCTATTAATTTCAATTCCATCGACTCTAAATGGAGTATCAAGCACTTTCTTGTTATTACTAAAAATCATATAATTTGTTTTATCTACATTTAAAGATAATTTGTTTAGTTGAAACCAATTTTGTATTTTCACAAATTCTGTTTGTGCCGTCTTCAGCATTTGCACAACATTTTCACCCACACAAAGAAAAGTAGTATCATCTGCAAACAAAATACATTTAAAAAATCCAGACACATTTACCAGGTCATTCACATATAAAATAAATAGCTTAGGTCCAAGTATAGAGCCTTGAGGCACTCCACATGTAATATTACAGAATTCAGATTTTACATCATTTATTTGAACAAATCGTTTCCTTTTTTCTAGATAACTAGATACCCACTGCAATGCATGTCCTCTAATACCATATTTATTTAATTTTTGGAGAAGAATATTGTGATCATTAGTATCAAATGCTTTCTTTAGATCAACATAAATACTAATACAATTTTTCTTTTGATCCACAGCAGTCGTTATCTGTTCCATTAAATCCACGAGTGCCATTGACGTAGAATTTTTTAGGTCTAAACCCATATTGACTATTACTTAATATATTTTGCTTATTGATAAATTCATCTAATCTAGTGACAAATAATTTCTCTAAAATCTTCGAAAATTGTGGCAACAACGATATTGGCCTGTAATTATTAAACACGCGTTTCTCTCCACTCTTATATAATGCTATTACCTTGGCTACTTTCATGTTATTAGGAAATACCCCTGTTGAAAATGATAAATTGCATATATATGTAAATGGCTCAATAACATAACTCATAATATTCTTTACAAGCATCATATCATGGTAGTCATGCGCTACAGGTTCGGTTCTGTAGTATAAAGTAGTACTGCATTTATAAATATAATAAAAACTTCACACACATGCAAAACAGATTAAATCTGTTGGTTTTTAAAGCATAAATAAGCACATGGTTTCTGTGAGGAAGAAACACGAGCACTGATGACCTTAAAACCAAGAATACACATGAAACCACATCAGATTATGTACAATATTTTTACTGTACTATTTTAGGATATGTTGATAGCAGTTTCATGTTTGTTTTTTCACTGAGGTATATTAAAGCTGTTTTTTAAGGAGGGAAAACATGAAAAAGTTACAAATAACTACCAAGAGGAACTCATAATGGTGTTCTAAGTTTTTTTCCGTTTAATCAATAATGGTTTTGACTTTAAAAGGTCAAGTTCATATTTTTGACATCTGAAAAACAGTAAATAAATAAAACACAAAGTGTGATTCTCTAAGTATTTTATCTTGGCCTCATTTTATAGACAGCTTCATTCTGTAAGAAAAAGAACTACTCATCATTGTTTACAACCAGCACTCCGTTTTATTTGTCATCCCAAACTTGCAGAGAATTAACAAACATGGGGTGAAACTAAATTTAAATTAAATTTAAAAGTGCATTTATTCACAAAATTGCACAAGTTAAGCTTTATTCGTCTATACCTTGAATGGTCTTGTAAATGAGATTTTAATCTCAATGAGTTTTTCGTTCTCCTGGTAAAATAAAGGATTAATAAATAAAGGATTAATGATGGAGCAGACGTGGGCAACGCATGGCTCGAGGTCCAAGTGACACTTGGGCAATCTCCTGGGCCCCCGATGTAGTTCATTAAAAAAAAAACAAAAAAAAAACACCAAGTTGATGAAAAATGTATTGAATAAATTTAAGGAAGTTTAAAACATCTTGCACAAAAAAAACACAACTCAAAATAGAAAACGTAGGCCAAGACTTCTTGTCGTTTTCAGAACTATTAAGACTCCAAAAGCAAATGTGCTTTTTTATTGCATGTTTAAAATTACAAATATATTGTCACAAGAGCTAGTTTACAGAAGGTCTTGTAGTCCTAAAGAGTATTGGGGAAACTTTTTTATCAAGCACGCCAACTGTGCTACAAGAAAAATCCTTAAAAAATAAAATAATCATCTTCCACATTGACCGTATTAAAAATATATATTTTCTAGTTTTCTATGTGGCCCTTCATTTATTTTAAATATCTTGATTTGGCCTCTGGAAATAAATAAACCCCTGCTCAATAAATATTTTATAGTTGAGAAAATCCACTAAATTAAATTCTATGTTCACGCAACTGAAAATGATTCATTACAGGAATTATTTGTAAAATATTTTAGGATGTGTTTAATGGACTTGGTCAACAGAATGAAAGTTTTACTGGTGGCAACATAGGACAAAAAAACCAGCATGTTTTGGATTAAACCATGTTTTATTACTCCTAATATTAGATGTAGATACACAAGTCAACAAACGGTATTCTTGAACTGTAATGAAAATGCTCCACGGCACACCGACGTCTGTGGAAAGGTCTGGTCTTACAGACATGTACCTGAAAATGGACAGCAGTTGGGAGTTTTTGCAGTAGGTTGCATTAATAACAGTAGTATTAACAACAGTAGCAATAATGATCATCATAGCAATTAATAATAGCAGTGGTATTAACGACTCCGGTTCATAGAGGAAAGATCAGACGTTCGTCAAAAGTACTGAGAAATGAGGGGGAGGGGCTTAAATGCTGCAAGACAAACCACTAAATGAAAATAGAAATAAACAAGCTCCCATGGGACAGCAAATATTCAGCTTTCTTGTAAAAACAGGAAGCTCAAACCATCACCAACCTGCGAATACCGGACACGTACAAGCAGTTTCTTCTTCATTGTTAAGAACCTAAACCCATTTCGACATCTATGATTCAAACTTTTTCACATTCTGTTGCAAAACTCACCCGGAATAGAGATTTTAAATAAAAAGATGAAAAAAAAAAGTGATTTCAAACCCAGCTGAGGTTCCCATAGATACGGGGTCGTACAGTGAACACTGCAGTAATGTTTGAGTAGAGCAGAAGAGTTTTTGCTTTCATAAATTAATCAACATTCAGACGAGCTGATGTGACCTCTGAGGTGGAGCTCGGCAGCACCAACAGGTCGAGGTTCGGAGCAGGAAACAGGAAGCTCCGTTCAAACCGTGCCGATCTCTTCGGCTCACTTCATGTATGCTCTGCGGTTCCAGTTTCAGTCGGCCTACACGGAAACCAAACGTTCCGCCACGCGATGCACCTGCCGTCCAGAGGCCCACAGACCGAGAGGGCGTGTGGCACCTCGGCAGTTTGGTGCAACATTCATGAGTAATCCAGGCGCATGTCTACCTAACTAGTTGTAGGAATGTACAAATTAGCAGACTTTTCATTGAATAGTCTGTTTTTATGCTGATTTATTCTGCTGTAATTAATCTGGCTGATGCAACACGGCTACATTCACAAGATCCGGGAAATGCACTTTTTATTTACCAAATCTGAGGAAACCATCAAATCCATCACCCATTTGTTCACACCAACTGTAACAGATCTCCGTTTTATGAAATGTGTTAGTCCTGGACAGATGAGCGGTTTTTATCTCTGGATACATTAAAATGGAAAAGATTAGAATGGCAACGATCAGGCGTGCACATATAGAAACCTGCATGAAGTCACGCCGCATACGTAACCTCCTGTAGGACTTTTATTTAAATGACTTGTCGCAGAGCTTCTTGTGGTTACTGCTCATAATCTATAATCCACTAACATACATTAGGTCATTGCCACAGGGCACAAGTTTAACATTCACATGTTTGAACTAACTTCCTGTTTGAACGGAGGGCGTTTGTAAAAAGGGTTCAGTGTAAAAGGAGCAGGTTCAAGTAAAGGTCAGACTCTTGTAACGGCACATAAATAGTATTCATCACTTGTTTCACCTCCACACGCCCATCGATTAGCTCGCAATGAAATCCGCCCGCTGTCCCTGCAGGCTCCTCCACAACAAACTGCCCCCGCGTCTTCACACCGGTTAAGAATGTGAATGGAAACGCATTAAGAGCTTGAAGCCGAGAGAAAAGGAATGTTTAAATCGGTTTACACACGGGAGGAAAGAAGGGAGATGATTCCAGTAACATTTGTGTTTGTCTGCGTTGGAACACAGAAGAAGCAGCATCCATCTGTCTATGTTTAACCAGAAACAACTAAACATGCAAAATCCACAGCACCACAACTCACACGCGCGCACGCACACACACACACACTAGAAAACTAACCTCCTCTGCTTTGTACAGAAAAATAAAACAAAAGTTAAAAACCAAGCAGAAAAGATGTCGCACAAAAAAAATCAAATACAGGCAAAATTTGAGAAAAAAAAACATTAAATATAAATATTTTCCAGATGGAACTTGTGATCACTTACAGCACACCGCTAAAACTCGCTTTATTTTTGTTGGGGAAAAAAAAAAACGCCTCAAACTTTTGTTTCCTAAACAAACAAACAAAAAAAAGGGGCAAGCTTCTCATTCTCTACTTGAACCAAATTAGTTTTTCTCCACAACATAAATCAAAATGATCAACTAATTGCGTTGCTTTCTCAAACCAGCAATTGCAAAAGATAAATAGAATATTAATATTATCAATAACATTGATCGGGTTAATACCATCAGTACCAGGAACATAAAAACTGAAACCGTAGCACAGAAAGCTCCATCCAGAGAGTTACCGGAGGCTCCGTTAGTCCAGATTCAGCGACATCAGTCCTCCCACTGAGGAGGACCCGTTTTGGTGGTCTAGAACTGGACCTGGATGAGGACTTTCGTTGCTGGGTGAATGTGAGTCACGAACTGGGCGAACATAAAGTAAATAAAACTTGTGAGAGAAAAGTCGAGGAGGAAGAAAAAGATTTTCTGTGACATAACTGCAGAAATCCCTCGGAGGCTGTGCTCAGGGCCGTGTGTTCGGATGACCTTCCTTTCTACCTGCCTCAGTTTGTTGAAGTATTCACTCCCACTGATTTTCATCAAGTCTTCTACTTCTTCTTGCCAAAGAAGCTGAATCTCTTCTCACGATCCTTCTCCTTCCCGTCCTTGTTGCGCATGGTGACGACGTCGCCTGAGCTCGGGGAGATGGGGGGCATCGTCATGGCACGGCTGAGGGGCCGGGGACCGACAGGGGAGTCCGCAGACCCTGTTGCTGGAATGGAGCTCAGGATGGACTGAATCCAGGAGCTCATTTCCGCCTTTAAACAAACATTGTGTTAGGATTAATTATTGCCCGACTGCACACACGCATGGTTTGATCCGTTTTATGAGCGTGGTTCGGGCATCTCACCTCATCCTTAGCTTGGAACAGATACTCCTTCCCGTCTCTTAGCCTGCAGTCAGAAGGTTGAGGAGTTAACCACAACATGTAATTTACACGCCCCTCACTAGTTTCCTGGGTTTTTATTTTTCCATACTTTTCTTGCAATCTAACAACTTCTGCATACTCGGTGCCATTTTTGTCATCCCTGTATCAAAATGTTAATTTCATTCAGAAGATAGAAGCAATGTCTTTTGGTCGTCGTAATTTTAATAAAAAAAACAACTTTATTTACAAACATTTTCCCCATAGAAACATTAAGATCCCTTCAATGTCTTCAAAAACTTTAGTATCATTGCTATATTTTTGTCTTTTGCAACTTATCACTATCCTTTTGCTACCCTTAGCTTCTAGATAGACATTTGTTTCATTAGCTTTTAGCTACTTTTAGCTAGCTTTAGCTTTTAGCTAACCCTTGCTGCTTTAAGATAGCATTTTGCTACATATAGCTTTTAGGTAGCACTCCGCTACTTCTATATTTTAACTAACATTTTTCCACTTCCATCTTCTAGCTAGCACTTTGCTACCATAAGCTTTTAGCTAGTGTTCTGCTTCTTGCAGCTTTAACACCTCGGTTTCAATTTGCAGTCAGTGTGCACACTTTTGTTTCCACAGAAACTTACATTTCTCCAGTTATGTGAAAGCTTTTTCTCACCTGAGCTTAAATACATGTTTCTTCTTCTTATAGTCATGAGCTATTTCACAAGCAGCCTCTTCCAAGCTGATGGGCACCTCTCCATGGTATGTAGCACCGCTGCTAGCACTCTTGTTGTCCTTATAGAAACCGAGGTTTCCTTTTCTAAGGACACAGTAAACATTATGCCAGGATCTGTGGAGAAAATAAACCAGACTAACATTAGACAAGTTGGAAGTGCATTGCATTCTTCTACTGCTTGTCTTATTCTTCAAGTGAACGACTAGTCCTCAAATTTTCTACATTTTTACCCTCAAAATTACAAACTTTAAGAAGAACAAACACACAGCTGGATTTAAAGTACAAGCCTTACAGAAAAAAAGTCAGGAATCTAAGAATCTAAAAAGTAATCTAAAAAATAAATGCCACAACTGGCAGGAGTTTTGCCTTTTTAAATTTAGAAGACACTTTAGACAGGAAAACAAAGGAGAAACAGGAAGTGCACCTCTTGCAATTAAAAAAATGTTCTTTCACAAGACACCTCAGTCCAGGACTTAGCCACTTTCGTGTGATTTCTGAATGGACCGAGGCGGCAAGGGGGTCAAAGCCAGCCCGACCTTGTTGTGCCTTTGTGCTACGAAGCGAGGTAGTAACAGAGGAGAAACGGTCCATGTGTGAAACTGTAAGCCAGTGCCCCGGATCAATAATGTGATGAAATATGGTCTGTGCGACCAGCCAGCCACAGGGTTAAACAACAACAAACGGATCTATTACCAATGGAAGATGAGGTGCAGCAACTTTGCTATTAGTTAAACACAAAGAGAAGGGAGACGTTCGCCACACATTTAATGCATTCTGCTCCACGTCAACTCGGCTGAGTTCTGCTCCACGACTCTTTTGGTTCCACAAAGCTCGCTTCATTTAAAAAAGTTCAGATCAGTGTGAGACCTGGCCAGCTCCACTGGTGATTTGTGAACGGCCAGATGGAGCATAAAGACGGACTGGTCTGTTCATCCGTTTCAGAAATTGTTTGATGAAAGAGCCTAAAGAAAAGCAGGTTCTCCATCACGTTCACGACCAAATCCTTACCTGGTAGCTGCCTTTTTGTTGTGGGACTCCATCTCCTGCTTTCGAGAGAGTATGCCCTCCATGGCATTTGGATCGGATTCAGCACCACCTCTGCTTGGTAACGTAGACGGCTCAAGGCGAGAAGACGCCAGCCCGCTATCTCTACCTGGTCCATTAACCGACTCAGACTCCGAGCCCTGTGGTTCAAATCAGGACAGAACTGAGTGTGAGGAGGTAGAAGCATCTGAAAGTGGGTGAATGAAGGGAAGAGCAAAGCAGCCATTCACAGCCATACACTAAAAGCCATAATGATGCTTGCTTTGATGGCACTGTCTGATTACTAGAGGTAATCACCAAGGGTTCACACATTGGTGCACTGACATTACACAAGAGATTAGTCACTTCTAGAGGCGAGACACTCCACTATTTATATAACACACAGGAAACAACACGGAACACCATCAAATTCTTACATTTTTAAAAAGGACACGAATCAAAGGAACCTGAAACCAGACTCACAGTTAAAAAAAAATACCAGTTTAAAGCAAATACAAATATTACAATGCATGCCTGCTTATTTTGTGAAACCTCACTAAGTTAGTAAATACTAAAAAAAAAAAATTAAATAAACAAATAGTTTAGCACAAACTGAACTTTGAAGTGTTGTGATCGGCCATGTTGGGTTTCATTTACTGATCAGTGAAGACACTTAAGTTTTCCTGTTTTCCCTCCATAAACCCTTTTCAATAAATAATTGCCACCTGACTCCATCAAACAATGTTCACACTTAAAGAAAACACAAATACGTTAAAAAAACTAAAACAAGCCACACGTAAAATACCACTAAACAGCTATATTTACTCTTGGCCCCACATTTACAGTGACTCCCGCTCTGGTCAATGTGAGCACAGACACAGCAGCAAGCTGCAACATTTCTGATCCATGAAACAACCTGCTCATGAATCTGCATCATGCCTTGTAGGTAGCAATGAGACGCATAATGAAACTGTGCTGCTGCATTAATAAAGCAATGGTTGCATCTGTGAAAGAGAAACAAGGGCTTCTCAGTACACAAAAAACAAGAAGTTCTGCTGTTGACCAGGAGCTGAGCGGAGGCTGTGAATGGGGTGGGGGAGGACGGGAGATCTACAAAGCTGACCGTGTTTGAGTACTCACACGCTCCGGCTGTTTTGGCTTATACACACGTTTAGGCTCTGATTTCTTTCCCATTGACAACGACATCGTTAATGACTGCTGATAAAAATGCAACGAGAAATTGTTAAGGTGTCTCCGTCAGAAACAGAAACTTGAGCGTGAACTGCCGTCACATCGGAAAGACTTGTTTCTAAGATGTGACGGCAGTTTATGAATATCACAAGTAATTAATTTTATCTGCCACTGAGGAGATTCAGTGAGATTGTATAATGTGCACTGAAACTTAACGTTTTCCTACCCAGAACCCACTACTCCTTCCTAAAGACCCGTTCTTTGAAATCAGAAAAGCACCTTCAGATATTAAATACCATCAACAATACTTATACACAAAACTGGGGTTTGTGAATAGAAAGTACTCCTGATATATTGTTTGAGGCACTTCAGTTGTATTAACATTTAAAAAATGACACTTAAAACATTTTTGTTTGTAATTCTAATTCTACATACGCAAACAATCAAAGATGTATTATACATTCACTGACAAAAAAAAGGTAAGCACCCAGAGGAATAGTCCAACTTTCCTCCCATTATCAGCGCCCTGATCTTTCCCCAGTCAAACGTAAGAAATCGTCTCAGACTCCATCTAAGTATCGAGCTGCTGGATCTCGACGTTTAGCTACAACGATGGGCCAACATGCTGCATGAGAGGATACCACAGCTCCATGACTGTCAGGCATGAAATCTCTGCTAAGATCCAGGTTCTCAACCGGAAACGGGTGGAATGCTCTTCTGGACCGGGGGGTGTCTTTGCCTCAGGTGGAAGAGTTCATTTGGGTGTCTCGTTCCTGAGTGATGTTAGGATGGAGCGGAGATGGATCGAGGCCTCGTTCTCAGTAATGAGGGTGTTGCTTTGGTCAATCTGGATTTACTGGTTTGTCTATGTTCCAACCTTCACCTTAATGTTAAGAGGTTTGGATCAAGACCAAAAAAAAAAAAAAAAAACAGATCCTGGATACAAGCAACGGAAATGAGCTTCCTTTGTAGGGTGGCCGGGCTCATCCTTAGACAGAGTGAAGAGCTCCATCATTTGAGGGGAGCTCGGAGTTGAGCTGCTGCTCCGTTCCATCAACAGGAGTCAGTTGAGGTGCTTCATCTGATCAGGATGCCTCCCTTTGATGGTTTTACATCCCACTGGTAAGAAGACCCGGGGCAGACCCAGAACTCTCTGGGTGGATTGTGTATCCACTCTGGCCTGGGAACGCCTCGAGGTCCCCCAGGAGGAGCCAGAGTGTCGCTGAGGAGAGGAAGGTATGAGTTTCTGTCCTGGACCTGTTGTCTCTGTGACCTAACTATGGATTAGCAAAAGGAAATGGAGAAAGAAAATCCAGGTCCTAGTGGGGCCACACCCTACTGACATGGGACCAACTGTGTGTCCACACTGCAGCTCCAGTATCCTTTGATCTAATATTACATAACAGATATATATTGTACAATTTGTATTATAGTGACCTTTCAACACGTGTTTCAGCTCAATAGTGTCATTTCACTTCTACCACTTCCTCTGGGCACTTATCTTTATTGTGCCAGTAAGAGCAGAGAGATGATTTTCATCAAATTCACAATAAAATGAGAAATGTTTGCATATGAACAACTAGTACAACAACATTAAATGCAAGTTCTATTTATCCCCTTACAAATCCATTTATGCATCCATACAACAGGAGATGATGCAAAACAACACAGAAGAGACATCACATGACAGTTTGTGCTGAAGGACAGTAGAAGAAATCAAATTTGCTTCACCACGGAGCATGCACACTGGAACATATAAAACACTTGTATCAACAAAAGCTGTTGCACCTGAGATGTGTCGTTATCGCTGTGTACTCCGTTTACCGAGACCGACTGGTTCAGTGTGGTCTGATCCAGACTTGTTCTGTGTTGAAGAGAAAAAGGCACGTTACTTAGAATCAAAAAGGTTCGCTGCACTGCACACAGACACCCTCAGGTTTACCTGGCTGCAGAATCATGCGCTTGACTTTCTGTCTCAGTTTGTGCCACTTCTTCTGCTGGTGGAGGGGTAGGAGGCCGCCGTGCTCTCTCTTCCTCCTCTCGCCTCCTTTGAATCTCCTGCTCCTCGAGCTAAAACAAAGAAATACAGCAGCGCTAAATATAACCCTAAATGAATCAGAGAGGATATGAACACTCTGGAGCGTCTCTGCTCATCCTACTTACTGTAGTAAGCTTCTCCAGGAGCACAAAGCGTTCCTCCCAAGCTGCAGCAAGTTTTTCAAATGCTTCATGGCGCTTGATTAGGCTCTCAACTTCATCTACATTAGTGCCCAGCTCTGCTGCTCGCACGAGAGGTTCCTGCCCAGACAGCCAGGACTCTGCCACAGAGGCATCGCGTCCAAACTGCAGCACTTCCAGGACTGAAGTAAAGAAAGACCAAGACATGAAGAACCAAAAAACAAGCCAAATAAAAAGGAGGAACTAAATAAACAAATAGGATGTTATTAACTTGAGTTTTAGATACTATTAAGATTTGTCACATAAAATTATTTAAGGCACTTTCAGACCAGCAGCAGAAAACTAAACCAAGACATGTATTATAAGACAATCCAAATGTTAGTTTAGCCAAGATATCTGCCCCACCACAAACAGGATCTGTCCAATCCATGCAAGTAAATAAAAACTGCAGAACAGCAGCGTCTGTCCAGCAACTCTGTCATTTATCGCACAAAAATTCAATTCAGTTCAGTTTATTTATAAAGCACCAAGTCATAACATAAGTCATCACAGGGCACTGAACAGAAACATTCATATACATGAAAAGTAAGTAAAAAGTAAAAAGACAGTAAAAATAAAACTCTTCTTGAAACTCCACAATCAAAACGGTCCTATCCTGATTGTAAAGATTATGAAACGCTGCACTGTAGTTCACATCTTATAAGCCTTCGAACTGAATGTATACTGTTTGGATATTTGCATTTTCTAGCCTGCAGATAAACTTTCATTTTGCTGCTGTTGCTATTTTATTATCGAGTTATTATATTGGTATGCGATTGTTAATAACATGAAAATTTCATATTCTCTGTCAGGATGAGACCCTACTTTAGGATGAATTAAATGATCCATCTCCCTATATTTGTTTTTATTTCTGTACATTTAATGAAAATACAATTCTTCATCTGGTCACAAATTTATTTTTATTTGGGATTACATTGTGTTCCTAAACAAATGTAATCAAGAGGAACCTCAAAAACTAAATATAAATTCATAAAAACTGTTCAGCACGCATACCAATTTGTAAATGATCCATCTTGTCTTGCCACTTCTTGTTGATCTGGTCTCTCTGTTCTTGGAGCTGAGCCATTTTCTCTCGGATCTGTGAATCAAAGAACATTATGAACGGAGAGAACTGAAGCGTGAAGTACACTAAATCCTGTTCTGTATAATTTCCTTCAAGCCATTGTGAAATACCTCATCAGCAGCGTAGTGATTATTGTTGATGAGAGCTTTTCCCAGGTCAGTGCAGGCAGTGAAGCTGTCCGCTCTGGTCTCAATCTCTGATTTGATGTCTTGATGATTGGCAATGACTAACCCAGCAGATGATACATCCCTTTAGATATAAGACATAAAAGAACATTAATATTAAAATATTTGTAAAAAATCTGAATGTAAACATGTAAAAAAATTATTATAATAATCAGGAGTTGAAAAAAACCCAAACATTAAACGACTATGACTGAATTTGTTTTTCACTGGTCAGCTGGCATCTGAGCCAGCTAGAAGTGATGACGAGGCACGAAGGAGGAGTGTGATTTTAAAGAAACCCAAATAAATTGTGCATGGCTTCACCCACTCCGTCAGCCAAAGTGGAACCAAATTTAGCAGATACTTATAAACCTTTATTTAACCAGGCAAATCTCACTGAGATCACAGATGCAAGTTTTTTTGATCTGTGGGAGAAAACTGGAGTACCCGGAGAAAACCCACGCAAGCAGGAGATGAAAATGCAAACTCCACACAGAAAGACCCCAGGTCCAACCGGGGATTGAACCCAGGACCTTCTTGCTGTGAGGCAACATTGCTAACCACTGAGCCGTCGTGCTGCCATACGCACTTGTCTGCATGTCCTTCGTTAAATGGCATAGAGCTAAACCTCCAGGTCTCTGAAGCTGAACTAAAAAAATGAAATAAACTCCTGGACATCCAGGTCACGTTTAACAGACTCTGTCGTGAAGTTAAAGGAAGGAAGAGGCTTTTTTCTGCTTAGCTGCATTAGCTGTGTTAGCTCAAAGAGACAGACCTGCAGCTTGCAGTGATGACATATAAGCCTCCAGTATACTCCCACGTACGTACGTTCACGCGTACATACGCGTGTACTGTACGCAGAGGGTTCAGACTTCGTACTCCAGCGTACACCATGAGCAGCTGCAGAGCAGCTTTACTGACAAGGGGCGTTTACCTTCGAGACAAATTGAGGTCGCTGATTGGTCATTTGCTGACACGCCTACTGGATTGATTGACAGGTCGGAAAAAAAAGAAAAAAAAAGAGCGCTGGCAGCCTCAGCCGCAGCGGTGTCCTGTGTTTATATGTTGTTAAGAAGATCTAAAAAATTTTTTTAAAAAACAGGGAGCGCTGGCTCTGCAGCCCACACATCAGACCAGCCCACCAGGAAATCTCCAGACCCTCCCGCAGTCATGCTGGACCTGAGTTTAATTCGCTCGTGACAAATTCCTTCATTTCTCACCATTTCAGTCATGGCATCAACGAAGGAGGAGGAAGAGATCACTTGCCTCTTGGAGAAAAAACAAAACAAAAGAAAAGGCCAAATCAGGGATGAAGAAGGGGAATTTAATACATTGGTGTCGCATACAAAACAGTCCGTCGCTGGGCAGTTTATTGTGCGACACCACGTACGCGTATGCAGTCGTAAAAATTGAGCTTTGCACGGACATGCCCTGGGGGGTACGCTCGTACCTTCGCGTACGTACGTGCGTACCTCTGCGTATGGACGTACGCGGAAGTACACTGGGGACTTAAAGAACACTAGATGTTTTGCAAATTAAAACAAGGGTTTTACTGTTTAAAAAGAGGCTTTGTGGAAATGAGTCAGACATCAGCACCTAGCTGCTAATGTTGGTTAGCTCTAGAATTTTATTACTCCTTCCGCTTCTGATGTGTATGAAACTCATTACTGCAACATTGACGATAGGTAATGAGGAAAAAGCATTCACCTGGGGCTGTCGTGTGCATCTATCTGCAGGTTAACTCCATCCATCCAGAGCATGAGGTCCCGCACCATGTTGAAGAAGCGGAATTTCTCCACAGTGTCCAGCAGGACGAGCCTGCGGGTCTTGCAGGCCTCCAGCAGGCCCTCCCAGGCGGACGTCACAGCATGTTCGCTCCTCTGAATTTCCTCGGCCTTTTCACCAGCATAGGCCTTCTGCAGCCGCGCAGCATCATCCTGCACTTGGTTCACCTTGTTTAAAGAGAAACCAAAGAAATTTGATGTTCTGCTCATACGCAACATCTGAACTGTAACAAGACGACTCACCTGTCCACTGAGCGCCTGAATGTCATTCTCTGAATTGGTGTGCTGTCTGTGTAGGTGCTGGACAGTGTTCAGGTCACGACCGAGGTCTGAAGGCAGAGCTTCCTTTTTCTCCTTAATACGTCCAAGCACCTCCATGGCATCTTGATGGAATCTATGCAGCTCATAGGAAGCTGCCAACATTTGTGTGCGTGTGTCGATTAGCTCCAAGAGGTCGGCCCAGGCCTCGTTCAAACCGTCCTTCCACTCGGCTACACTGGCATTCTCAGGGTGCCCTGACTCAATAAGGTCATCTGCCAACGCGTTTACTCCGTCTACACGCTCTTGTCCGATCGTGCTGGTGTCACGAGCAAACTCACGGAACTTGTCCCTCAACATCTGCAAGAAAGGAAAAAAAAAAGTTAGGGCTACTGTATATGGAGCAGAATATTTTCAGCTACATCTCCCAAAGCTTCTGTGTCTTCAAAGCATGTGACTGTGAAATAAACTCACTGTGACATGTTCATAGTCTTGTCCTAGTTCATGGGAGCCAGCAACCACCTCCCTCTCAGCAATCCATTGTTCCAGGTCATCCACCTCCCGCTTCAGCTGGGTCAGCCGCAGCCTCTCCTGAAGCCGCCCACGACGCTCCTCTGCAAGGTCTTTCAGACCTGCATACAGCTTGTCGACTTGCGCCTGTCTCAAGGTGATTCTTTCACTGGTAAATTGAGAAGAAAAGTCAAACATCAGTCCCTGTGGGGGTCTAAATGTTAAGAGGGTATGCACGCCCACTGAATCTTTAGGGTTTTAAACCGCATGAACTCTCTGACCTCTCTGGGTGTTCACTGTTGACCATGAGGCGGCTGCTGTTGGCCAGCTGGTGAATAGTCTGGGCATAATCTTCAAGCGCCTGTTCCAGGATTTGGTGCTTTTTGACCATCACGAGAGCACCTTGTTCATCCTGCGTAAATGACAGGAAAATAATTATACTTCACAAAAAGCACATAGTGTAAATATCAATGTGCTACACTATCTCTATTACCTTCGCTTTTTCTTCTGACATCATGTGTAGCTCTTGCTCTCCCATCCAGGCCTCTGCTTCAGCTGCGTCGGCATAGAACTGCTGAGCGAAATGTGCCTCGACCAGACGAGCGCGGCGCTTGTCCGTCTCAGCGATCAGCTCGTCCCAGAGGTCCTTCAGCTCAACAAGGCGCTCTGTCAGAAGAGACTGCCTTTCACCGTCTACCTGGCTCTGGTCCTCGCCTCGTCTGTGGATGTCATCGATGCGAGGCTGGTGGCCCTGGATCTCTTTCTGCAAAGTCTGATTCACAGCCAGAGCAGACGTGGTTTCACTTGTAAGTTGGCAATTTCTAGCACGCTCACACAAAAATAAATAACTTTAGAAGAAACTACAAAACTTCAAGTAACGGCTAATTTACATTTAAGTTTTAAATTTTAAATGTTTGGTTTTTATGTTTTTTATGGCTGTACCTGGTTCTTCTTGATTAGGAGCTGCACAGTGGGCAGATCTTTGCCATGGTCTGTGGAAGTTGCGAGGGGCATCCTCTCCTTCACCCAAAGCTAAAAATTGAAAAAGCAACATACAAATGTAGTACACACAACAAAAGGTTGTATTCATCTTCACCTGCTGCATAACTTGTTCTGCTTACAATTTCATCCTCCAGGTCTCGGTTGAACTGATGTGCTTCTTTGGAGGCCAGAAGTTTCTGTCTTCTCAGGCCGAGAGGATCCTGTAGGCTGGAGAAGTTGTCAATGACATGTTTTTGCTGACCGTCTATCTCAGCCCGCCCAGCATCCTCCTGGGACAGAGCAACAGCCTGAGTTTGTAAGGACTGCACCTCCTTTTCTCTGACCTCCATCTGATGCTCCAGCATCTGCACAGAGATGAAAAACAAGACTGTGAAACGTTTACCTTCATGAAGCCACATTTTTCCACCACTTCCACCCTGATAAGTCAATATCTAAAAGATAGCACTGTTTCATCTCAAGTTTGTCAAGTGCTCGGTTATCTGTTAAATGAAAAGTATAGTCACAACCCAAGTGCTTTTGTTACTTAAGGAGTTCAAATGCATTTTACCTGGTGCTTTTTGAGGAGGATGTTAACACTGGTCAGATCTTTTCCATAGTCATCACTGTGCAGCTGACTCTCGATGTTTTTCAGCCAGTCATCCAGAGCGGAGCAGCTCTGTGTGAAGATTTCTGCCCTGTGAGCCTCGAATAAACACTGGTCCTTGGAGCGGGTCCTGCCCTCCAGCTCCTCCCACTGACCCTGTAGATCTTCCAAGGTCTGCTGAACTACAGGTTTCAACTCGGGCTTCTCTGCCACGAGTGCTTGACCCTCCTTTTAGAGAAAAGACAAAGACAAATTCTAGCTTTAAAAAGCTGTTTCTTGATTGCAGGTAAAAACCCAAATGTAAACGTTAAAACAAAAAAAGGTAGACTAAAGGCTAATATAACAACAGCGGCACATTCTACATCCACAGACAAACTATTATACAGCAATCTATGACCCAGACAAGAAAAGAACTAGTTTCGACTTTGACCTTGATTTGTGACCTTAAAGCTGGGGTGATGAAAAGTGATCCACTCCGTTTAGCGATGATGCAAATGTGCATGAATTTTCATTAAATTGTCTTTCAGTGGATCAGATGTTATGGGCCAGACAAGAAAAGACCTTGTGTAGCATTTGACCTTGATTTGTGACCTTGAAGCTGGGGTGATGTGTTTTGCGACACTCCATCTAGTGATGACGCATACCGTATGTGTAGTTTTGTTAAATTATCTTTAGCGACTCAGAAGTTATGGGTGGGACAAGAGAATGTATACGGACGTATAATAACTAGTGATGCACGATCCACATTTTTTCACTTCCGATCCGATGCCAATATCTGATGGCCCGTATCGGCCGATACCGATCTGATACTGATACATATAAACAGTGCTGAATTATCGATATCATGATCATCATTGATTTTATATGAGGCTGTAATAATCTCCTCTCAAGTACAATTTGTACAAATATATGCATGCATGTCCAAAAAGGCAACTTGAGGTAAGTTGTATTAATGTTGGATAAGTTTTAAAGTTAGAATTAAATTCTGCTAACACAAAACATGTCTGTTTTTATTCCTAGCTTTAAAGTGGATCATAAAGTGATTAATTTAAGTGATTGTTTAAAGTTTTTTTTTTTTTTTTAATAAGGGGCAGATATAAGATTTTTCTTCTTTCTGCACTCTTTTCATTCAATGTTTTCTTTTTGATTAATTTGTTTTGTTTCTTTTAAATGAATGAATAAATTAAATAAAATGTTAAATAGCTTTAAACATCTGCCAAGTTCATGGCATAAACCAACAGACATGTTCCTGTTTTTAGTTATTTACATCACTTTATAATGTAGCTGTTTTTGTTTCGTTATGTATATATATTCTTTTTTCAAATCATGTGTTTTTTTTTATTTTTATGATTGTCTACTGTTGTACTGATAAATATCTCCTGGAAGGTAAACTATATCTTGGATGCAAGTATCAAGCTGAGGAATCCTTCGTGTTCCACAACTGATAGTGGTTGGTCATGAATCATGATGAAGTTTAGCAACTTCTCTGTAAACATTTGAGCTCCGGGGCTTCAGTGATGTCTTCTTCTTGTTCAATCCGAAGCAGGCAGCCTGATTTTGGTCAGCCGCGCTCAGTCTGTCCCTCCTCAGAGACAGGCAGATTTAGCGGGGCAGATTGGACGCGGCTGGCCGGGGTCGGGCTGCCCTGCTACGAATTCAGTGAGAGTAGCACCACGCTGAAGCCACGGAGCTCGAATGTCCAACGTAAAACTAACTTTACCACAGTTTAAAGTGGCGCTATGGCTCTGCAGACATTGCACGTTGCCGTCTTGTTTTGTGGCGTTTCTAGTGTAAAATACTTCCACACAGCGGACATGTTTAGATGAAAAGTTTGTTAGCTGTTAGCCACGGTGCTGCTAACTCAGTCCTCACGTTGTAGCCGGCTGCAAACTATGAAATGGATTTCCTGAATGTGAGGCGGGTCTTATTACTCTAGAGTTCATGAAACACGCCTCCGTTCAGGAAATCCATTCCATAGTTTGAAGCCAACATGCATCATGGATCGGAAATCTCTGCAGGTTGGATCGGAAAATGGATCAGTCACATTGTCACCGATACCCGATCCAGAAGTTTTTCTGATATTTGTACCGATATTGATATTGGATCGGTGCATCTCTAATAATAACAAACGTCTTTATTATCTTTTTGTACAAAGTGTCCCACCTTATCGATCTTGTCCAGCCAGTCTTTGTTGGAGGCCAGCTCTGCCATAAACGCCTGGTGTTTCTGCCACTTGCTGTGAAGATTGCGAGCTTCATCATAAGTCATGTCCTGTGCTGTCAGCATCTTCTCATTGATCCACAAAGTGAGCTTCAGATAAAAAAAAAAAGGTAATCATAAAATTATTTTTATTTATATACATTATACACATACACACACACACTTTTAGCAAAATATGCCATTGCCAGCATTATATCACATTAAATAATTTAATGATTTACTTTAATTTATTTATTATAACTTTAATTGATTAAGGACTGTTGTTACCTCTTGTCCATCTTGAAGGAAGTGCTGAAGTTCACAGTTGTCCTTCAGCTTGGTCAGCAGTTCGTTAGCAGCCTCCTTATTTTTATGATGCCTAGAGAAAATCAGCAAGTAGTCAAATACGTAGCCTTCAAACATCTCAAAAGGACAGAAAATCTTTGCATAGTTTTCTCTTCTTATCTCCAACGTTCGGTTCTGACCTGTCCTGGACTGAATCAACTTTTTCTTCAATCTTATCGGCATTTGCATTGGAGTCATTAATGAGGCGCCTTCCAGCCTCCACAACACCAGTTATCTTCTCCTCGCTGGCCTCTGTGGTCGTGAGGAAATCTTCATGCTTCTTAATGGCCTCCTCTGCAGCCTGCAGGCTGGTGGGCATCTCTGTGTGGGAAAGCACGTACTCCTACACAAAGATAAAGCAATGCTGAAAAATTTTCACACAAGGAATGCTCCCATGAACAAATCCGTTATAGTTTTACAAACCGTGTAGAGCACAACCAGTATATTATGCATTACCTTTAATGTTGTTGTTTTTAAAGAAGCGCAACATATTTATCGTCTCTGACTCAAATTCTGAAGCTGTTTTTATGCCAACAGCTTTTATGATACTAATATCATTTCTGTAATTTAATATGAAAATGCAGAGTGAAAAGATCTACAGTTCCTTCTGGATATTCAAGAAATGAAGAAAATACCATTTTACTATTGAAACGATTTAAAATTAGACTAAACATTTTGATTGCCAGAAGGGAAAAAAAGTAACATTAAAGAAAAGGAATTTATACAAATATCTTCAGACAAAAACCAAATGACCCACTTATATAAAAATAGAAAACGTTTTTCATTGCACTTGTTGAATTGAGCCACCAAGTGGTCATTTCAATGAAGTTTTAGCTTTCCGGCACAAGTCACATTCTTTGAGTGTATTTTTCTAACCTGGCTGTTGAGGAAAGCCTCTGCTTGTTTTGCATCTCTCAGGAAGGTCTGGAAATCAAAGGCCTGGGCCAAAAGGTTCTGGCGGTTCTCCCACATCTGACGTAGCTCATGCCAGCCAGTGTCCAAAGCCTGAAGCCTCTGAGCCAAGAACATGTGCTGGGCGTCGGTCTGACCTTGGGTCACCTCCTCACCAACAGCTCGCATTTTCTCGTAGTCCTCCTTGTAGTTGTCGATTTCATTCTTGATGCTCTCGTGTTGAGCGAGCAGACTCTCAGCCTCGGGCAGAGATGTGGGAATGTCTTCTGAGGCCACCGCTGTCTGAGTGCGAGACAGCCAGGACTGGAAGTCGTCCAGATCCCTGAGGAAACCTTGAAGTTTGCTGGCTTCTCCCAGTGACTCCTCTCGTCGTTTCATGGTGTCATTCAACTCCTCCCACACCTCCTGGATCTCAGACAAGCGTCCTTGTATTTCTCCAGCCTGCTCCGGGTGCTCGTTGGCCAACTTTTCTGCCTCTTCCCTCAAGTCATCCAATTTACCCTAAAAATAATCAAAGTGAGGAACATCAGAAAAAAAAAACATCCTTCAGTTATTTGTTCTTGTTAAAATGTGTATTTTGTTTCAATCCGTGTGCATTTCCTACCTGAATAGCTTCGAGATCTCTCTCCATCCCAGTGAGCTTGCGTTGCAGAGCCATCACTCCAGCAAGATCATTCCCCAAGCCCTGAGTGGATTCAATCACTTTTGTCTTTTCTTTCATCCAGGTCTGAATCTCGTTACACTCGAGGTGGTAGTTCTGGATGTTGAGAGCAGACTCCAGAGCTTGTTTCTTTTGACCAGCCAGTTGCTCGAACTCTTTCCATCTGCAGACGTCAAGCAAAATGTTAAAATTGGGTACTTTTTTTTTGTAAACAGGTGAGATTAAATAGACCTTTAAAATGAGCTCTGACCTGTTGTTCAGCTTATCTTTTGTCTGGTGGATTTGGTCTTTGTTGCAATTTTCTGAATTCAGCAGCTGCTCAGCCACCTGGTTCACATCATTTACCCGAACGCCTACGTTGTTCATCTCAGGTTCCAGTGTGTCAAATCTGCATTCAGAAATAAAATACAATATTTATTCACTCATTTAAGTTGTAATAAACCTATTTATATTCAAATATAATAAACATACAACACATTATACGACAGCCGACAAAACTTTTATACAAAAGTACAGCAATCTATAAAAATGGCTTGGACCCTTGTATAACAGTTGACCTTGATTTCTGACCTTGATCTTAGCGCTGGGGTGATGAAAAGATTATGTACCATGCTTTCTAGTGGTGGAACAAAATATGTATCAAGTTTAATTAAATTATCTTGAGCTGATCAGAAAATTTGGTCCAGACTAGCAAAGACCGTGTGTAACATTTGACCTTGATTTGGGACCTTCATCTTGAAGCTGATGAGAAGAAAGTGTATGCAAGACTCCATCTAGTGCTGACGTATTTGTGTTAGTTTCGTAAAATTATCTTGAGCGAATCTGAAAACATGACCCAGACAAGCAAAGACCTTGTTTTAACTTTGACCTTGATTTGACTTTGTAGCTGGTGTGATGAAAAGTGTCCGTGACACTCCGTCCAGTGATGATGCATACTGGTATGTGTATGAAGTTTTGTTAAATTATCTTGAGCATATGAGAAGTTATGGGCGGGGCAAGGGAAAGTTTGCATAGGATCCACCTTTGACAGGCGTATAAAAAAATTTAACGTGAGCATCACATGAAACAAAGTAATAGTCTCTGCAGTCCAAATACATTTTGAAGAAAAACAATTCAGCCTTGACCTTGTTACCCCACAGACTAACCTCTGCTGTACCACCTCCAGGTCCTCCAATTTGGTAGGAATCTCCATGCTGTCTAACCACTGCTCTTTTTCTTCCACCCAGAGCTGGCAGGCATCAGCTTCACTGAACATGCGATAAAGGGCCAGAGCCCCCTCCAGAGCCTGGCGCCGAGCTGCTGACAGAGACTCCAGTTCTTCATAGCATTGCTCAATCGCAGGCAGACGACCATCCACCTACAGTCATCCATAAACAATAATTTACTTCAAAGAGCATGTTATCACGGAGGGACGTTGAAAAACAAAGCCCACATACTTGCGGATCCTGTAAGTAGGCCTGTGGCAGCGCTTGGACCTGCTCGTGCAGTGAGTCGATGAGGGGGTGGTGGCTTTGGATCTCCTCTTCAATCTCCCTCTGCTTGCGAGCGAGTGTTTGGGTGGAAAACTCATCGTGGCCAACCTCTTGACTGGACACCTGCCTAAGGGTCTCCATAATCCACGCCTCCATGTCACTAGCATCTGTTTGAAACTGGTGGAGAGCCACCGACTCCTTCAGGCTCTGCTCCCTGAGTTTAGTTGTCTGAAGAGCGGAGAGAAAAAGAACAATATTGGCAAAAGACAATATTTTAAGAAGGTGGCTTCAGAGAAAACAAATCACCCACCTCTTCTAGACGAGCCCACTGTGCACGGATGTCTTGGATCCTCTCAGTGACTTCTGAGGCTCCAAAGTGTCCCTCTTTAATCAAAGCTTCTCCGGCAGCAATACTGTTACTCAGGGGGCCGTAGCGAGCTGCCATTTCATCCCTGAAAGCTTCGTGTTTACTGAGTAGGTGAAGAGCGGAAGTGAGGTCGCGGCCACAGTCTCCACTAGCCAGGATCTGCTCCTGCTCTCTGATCCAGGCTGCCTCCTCACCAACATCCCACAGAAACTGCCACAGACGGCGGGAGTCCTCCAGACGCTCTCTGCGGCTGCCGGCAAGCTGAATAAGTTCTTCATAAGACTGACCCAGCAGGTCGACCTTCTCACTAACCAGCCCAGGTTCACAAGGCTTGTAAGCTGCAAATTGAAAGACAGATCTTGCTGAGAAAACGGACTAAAACTGGCTCATTTAGACAGGGAATGTTAAAAACCATGGGAAGACTCACCTTGTTCATGGGAGGTGAAGCGCTGTGCGGCTCCCTGCACCGCCTTTATCCTCTCTGCCTGAGCTGAAATGTCAGCCTCCACCAGAGTATGTTTTTGCAGCAGGTCTAAAACATCGTGCAAATGTTTACCACTGTCCTGAGACTGCAGTCGGCCCTGAAGGAGACAAAAAGCCACACATAAGCAGAAAAACTCCTTATTGCTTCATATGGTACACATATTTAAATTGAGCAATTTGCCAATAAATGTTCAAAGACTATAATAATCATAATAATAGGTAAAAACAAAAGATAGCCCAAACCTGGATCATATAACAAGAGAAATATATATTTACTGCTTTTATCTAGAGCAAAAAGTCACTAAAAGACTGTTCTTAAATAATTCAAATTATGTGGTACTGGATGACTAAATAAACCAATGACACAGTTACAATTAACACAACCTAGATGAAACAAGAGTATCACATACAGCACATTATACATCCATCTACAAACTGTTATACAGCAATCTAAAGCAATGGCCTGGACAAGCAAAGACTTATCTTTGACCTTGATTTGTGACCTTGACTTTAAAGCTGGAGGTGGTGACATTTTTCTGCTACATGCCGTCTAGTGGTGGTACAAATTCGTATGACATTTTATTAAATGATCTTGAGTGTACCAGAAGTTTTGGGGCAGACAAAAGAAAGTTTACAGACGTACAAACGGACAGATGGAGACTATAACATAATACGTCCTTCTTTGGACAGCCGTATAAAAAGTGAGAAAAAGTAAATTTCTAAATTCTCAATTTACAAGTCAATGCTGAGAAGCAGCAAATTCTGTAACATTTATCTAAAAGTTGAAAAAGACTAAAGAGGAGGAAGTGAAAGTGTGATTCTGCCATTTGTAATCAAATGTACAGTTTATAAGACCATTTTGATAAAAGATGACCTTAGAAAATTTAAAACTTAATAGCTTAAAGCTTAATACTCTGGAAAACAAAGTGGCAGTTACTGAGGTGCAATGAGCCCATTCACTCTGCTCTGCCTCTGACAGGTAAATAAATGAGACTTGTTACAAATTAAAAATACCCTGTGATGCATTTACATGTTTTATACTGAGGATGCAAGAAGAGCTGTACTTACAAAAAGAAAACTAAAGTTTCTGTCACCACTGAACTCCATCAAACAGCTTTGAACATGCAAAACCACCATTTCAACATACATGAAAAATTCAGTACTGTAACTTGGATTATATATATATATATAAAACAGCTGTTAAAACTTATAAATCATAATAAATCAAGATTACCATGTGCTGGAACGGCACCTCACCTCTTTGTAGTTCGCCTCAGACAACCTCAGTAAAGCCAACAATGGAAGGTTGCACTAATCAGGCAAGGCCTTGTAAAGCTAATTACAGCAATTAGGAGCAGCACTAAAGCTATCAGGAATAAACATGAACAAGATCTATCAATTAAGAGGATCAGGAAACTCCTTTTAACTAATTAGAAATCAAAGCTGGAATAAACAGTCACTCGAAACACATTAAAACAACGTTGCAGTGAAAGTTCAGATTCTACCTTCTCATCAGCCATCCAGTCCATAATGTAGCGCATCTCCTGAAATAGCCTTTGCAGGTCTCGATGAGCGTTCAGTCGCTCTCTGCGAGCAGCCAGAAGCTCCTTCAGGTATTCCCAGAGCCGGAGCACGTTATCCCTCCGTGCAAGTACGCGGCGCACATCGTGGTATCTCTCGGCTTCCAGCTCTTTGGCAACAGCTTCCACAGCAGCAACGCGCTCCCAGTATGCTCCTATGTCCGTCTCAATTGCTTCATGTTTTCGGGTGGCAGCTTCCACAGCCCCCAAGTCAGTTCCAAAGTTATCCTAGCAACAAAAATGTCCTGATTATAATGCTATTAAACACATTTTGATTAGGAACTTGAATACATTTGGAGGTTTGCTTTGGAGCCATAGCTTTAAAGTCGGATGTTTTTATTACCTGGGACACCAGCCTCTGGTTCTCGCTCAGCCAAGTCTCCCTCATGGCTGCTTTCCGATCAAAACGGGCAGCCAGCATCTCAAGTTTCTCCTGGCGAATCAGCTCGTTTCTCAGAGCCAGTTCACGCTCGTGCTCAGCCTTTTCCAGTCGTTCCCACGCCTTCAAACGTGGAAAAACACACAACGCCTATAACAAGTGTCTGACTAAATCTAACAAGATGACATTTAAATAAGTCATAAATGTTCACTTTTAAATAATATGAAACAGTTTACATTTGTAGATGGTACACTGCATTTTAACATATTTCTAGGACAAGCACCTTATTGATATCAGAGATGAGTTTGCCCTCTCTCGGCATGTAAACTTTCTGATTATTCGCTCTCATCTTGCTTTGAATAGTAAAAAGAAGCACTTCCAAGTTCCCTTTCTCTGTAAATCTGTCAAGACAAGACAATGCACGTTAGCTAACCTTTAAATTCTGGATCATAAGAAAACAAAAACGTATTGGACTTTTTTCAGTTAAATCAACTGATTCTTACTTCGGGGGTTTCTCCACGGTCCTGTAGGAGTTGAAAGCCTGAAGCTGGTTCTGCACACCGTTCAGGGAGTTGGCCAGCTGTCGATCGTTGAGCGTCACTATGGTCTGCTCAATCCACTGCAACAGCTCGGACGCCAGTGTTTCGTACTTCTCTATCAGCTGGTCTGCCTCAATAGCATAGTCGAGCACCTGCACAAAATAAATAAATAAATAAATCAAGCCAACTTTAGGAAGGAAGCACTAATAAACCATGCAGGTAATGTTTCCCACACGTGTCATTCTATAATTATGTTATTCATACACGCACAAACACACAACTAACCTTGCCAATTCGTTTGCCCTCCACTGCCAGGGCTTTCATCTTGGAGAAGTAATGATAGTAGGTCGCCACATAAGTGATGATGGACTTTTCATCAGGTTGATCAACATTTACATCTGGAGAAAAAAAAAAAAAGATAATTATTCTTCCTAAATGTTCACTAGTTCAATCAGAACCTGAATAAGAAGTGTCAAGACTATTTTTTAATTATTTTTTTAATTTTTTTTTACCAATAAGTTTCCACTTGTAGTCTCTAGCTAATATTTAAAGCCGTGATATCTAAGCGAAAACTCCATTATCCGTAGTCAGGTCGCAGAAGCAACAGGTCCAGGAGAGAAACCCAGACCTCCCTCCCAGAGACACTTTCCAGCTCCTCTGGGGGAATCAAGGGTGATCTTAGGTCAGGGAGGATGGAGAGGACCTCCAGCGAGTTATAGGTCTGCACTGGGGCCTCTTACCAATGTGACGTGCCCAGAAAACCTCCAAAGGGAGGTGTCCATTCTGACCAGATGAACCTCTGCAACAGACAACTTTCAGTGCAAAGGAGCAGCAGCTCTGAGCTCCTCCCGGATGACGGAGCTTCTCACCCTACCTCGAAGGCTGAGCCCAGCCACCCTACAAAGGAAGATCATTTTGGCTGCTTGTACCCAGAATCATGTTCTTTTGGTCATGATCCAAACCTCATGACCACAGGTGAGGGCTGGAACATAGGCAGACCAGTAAACCTAGAGATTTGTCTTTTAAGTCAACTCTTTCTTCACTGTGACCGACTGTTTAAAAGCCGTCACTACTGAGGACAAGGACCCGATCTGTCGATACATCTACCACGCCATCCTACCATCACTCAGAAACCAGACGCAAAGGTACTAAAACTCCTCCATCTGAGGCAAAACTCTAACTATTGGTTCTAATTCCTTATTTGCAAAAATTACATTACTGTTTAAGGGGAGGAAAAAAAAATGTGCAGCTTAATGACAGCACTAAATCATCACCGTTTCATACAGGAATGATTCAATCTTTGTGGAGGTTTTAACCGCTCACCCTCGGGGTCCAGCAGCTTGGTGAGTCCCAGTTCCTTCTCAGCCACATTGAAGGCATTTTGGAGATTGTAGTGAGCGTTGGACCTCTTCAGGCTGTCAAACTCAATCAGATCAGACCTGCAGAAGATAGAAAACAGATGTGGTTTTAATTAGACGGTAGAAGAGACTAGAGGGCGCACACAAAATACTTCAGAGAAATCTGCAGCATAGCATTATCCTTCAAGTAGAGAGACTAACTGTTAACAGTTCTATCTTATAATATGAATACTTTTACTTGTGAATATTTACTTCTTTTTTTTAATTAAAAATAATATATATAATTTCTGCATACTGTACTGTAATTGCTTGCCTGAAAATTTAGTATCATAACACCATCCTTCCTTGACCTTCCTTGTATGTGTTCACTGTAACTCTATTCTATCTGACTCAGATTTAGGCTCAACCTTTGGCTCTCATTTTACAAACACAAGCCATCAATGTGTCCGTTACCAGCAGGGTGTGCAACTGAGTAACTAACAATGGTTTTTTCCCCTAAAAGCTGGTTCTCATTTGAGTGATTTAGGTCATCTTACAAACTATTTCATTAACATTGCATATAACAATATATTATTTACAGTGGTAGGAGACATAGATAAACATGCATAAACAGCCCCAGAGAAAGGTAATAATGTGATTACAGCTTCATTTTAGTGAAAACATTGAGCTTATTTGCAGACTGAAAATGTGGAATGATCATTTAAAAACAAGAACAAGAATTTTTAGGGATGGTTGTACGAGTGCAGTAGAGGAGTCATTGACCTGTGTTTGTGTACGATGGCATTGAACGCCAGGCCATCTCTCCAGCTGGTGGTGAAGTTATGAATGTTGACATTAGGGTATCTGTAGAGTCCAGGTTAGAAATCATTAATCATTAACTCTGCACAGCAAAAATCTGATAACCTCTTGAGTAAAAGGTATTTAGCATGAATGAAAAAAATGCTGAACATGTTAATGTTTAATTTTTTGAAGAATAACCTCTTAATCAATCTGCTTTCTTACCCAGCAGTTTTCATTTGGCACCAAAGCAGCAGGGCATCTTTGGCTGATTTTTTCTCCTTGTTATCTTCTGTCTCTACGCTGATGTCCTGGATCTGTCAGAAGATTGCGTTTATTTTGTTAAGCCCAGAGAGGTTAAACATGAGTACTGCTAACAGCACGTTATACACCCATCGACAAACTATTATACAATACAGCTATGGCCTGGACAAGGAAAGACCAGTATAACATTTGACCTTAATGATGGCGAAGAAAAGTGTACAGACACTCCGTCCAATGATGATGCGTATGTGTATAAAGTTTAATTAATCTTGAGTAGAATAGAAGTTATGGCCTGGAGAGGAAAAAACTTGCTTTAATTTTTACCTCGATTTGTGACCTTGATACTGGAGCTGGAAAAATATAAAGTGAAGCAACACGTGCATTTGCTGCATTTGTGTAAAAGGTGCATTAAATTACCTTGAGTGAATCAGAAGTTATGGTCCAAACAAGGAAAGACCTTGTTTTAACTTTGACATTGATTTTTGAACTTCATTTTGAAGCTGGGGTGATGGAAAGTGTACGTGACAATGTCTAGTGATGATGCATATTTGTTTCTGGTTCCATTAAATTATTCTGAGCAAATCAGAATTTATGGGCAAGACAAGGGAAATTATGTAATATTATTATGTTACCTGGAAACGAAGGATGATGGTCCATATGAGACCCAAGGTGAGACGGTGATTCCCATCCACAATGTCATGTGAGCCCATATTTTCTAGATGGACCTTTTGCTCCTTTAGAAACTGCAGGGCTTTGTCGACATTCTCAAGGCAGTGGATACGCATGCGGCCCTTAGTGGGTTTTGGCTACATGGAGCAGAAGGGGGGGGGGGGGGGGGGGGGGGGGCATGGTTGAGGCATTAAACAAAGCAAACTAGAAATACATAAAAAGTAAAAAAGATGACAACAGCTTAAAGAGCAAAACAAGAAAAAGCTGAAGGGGAAGTGAGTCACTAAAACAAATAAACCCATGATTTCTGTTCCCTCAGGACATGAGGTGTGTGTGTTGAGGGTCATGCTGAGGAGATCTGGGTCATGGTTTGGAGAGAGAGAAAAAACAAGTTTTCTAATACTAACCAGCTGTTCCCCTGAGAGCACTTCGAGAAGGCGGATTAACATACGGCCATCTCTGAGGTCTGTGTATAAATCACCAATACGGCAGGTCACTCGGCCTAAGTGAGAGTTCACCCATTTGGTAAAAGTCTTCTTCTGCACCGCTTCACGCTCATCTGCAAGAAAACAAAAAGTTAAGAGTAGTGAGTTCACAATACAAAACTAAAATACAACAAACCTAGCCTTGTATTATAAAATACATGTACAAATCGCCTATTAGTTGTTCTCATAGCTTTCTATGCCAAATATCTCATTGATGCAACACAATGGACCAGAGAAACTAAACAAATTAAAGTGAGCTAAGCTATGTGCCCCAAGCGTGCACTGCTCGCGATCTGATCACACCTAACCCAGTCCATATTCAATAATCATGCTTGGAAAGCAGGTCCAGGAGGAAGCTAGTTTGGCAGAAGTAGAGCTACACACATGACGTGAGTCCCCGAGACTCAATGGGATTAACCTGTATAAATAAAAGGTTGAATGAATTACACCAGAGTAAAAACAGCCCAAGATCTGAGAAACGTCTGGTTCCCAGACTATCACTGATTTGAATTACATTAGCATAAAAAATGAATATTACCGGGAAATCAATTTGGCATTTAATAAAAGCAGTAACCCGGTACTGAAAGGTAGTTCGTATGAGGACGTAAGCCCTTGATTCATACAGTTCATTTCACAGATGAGCCATTTTGTTTAGTCTTCAACATGTCTGCATTCACAGCTTAGTGAGAGTTTCACTCTTACGATCAAAGTTTACCGATTGATGGCTCTGTGTGCATTTGTAGTAATGACTGAATTTCAAAGACTAAGAGACAAATTGATGTAAAATTGAATACTGTTAAATGATTCTTTTTTTGCTTACTTTAAAACAGGACTGCAAAAGAATGATTAAAAAAATAAGATGCAACAGCAGCTCAGACATATGGACTGCAGAGGTAAGAGGCTAATCCTGCTCCACCACCTAACAAGGTGACCTAATTTCAACAACATAAGGTCTTCCTGCCTTTTGAAAACACTATTCCAGGCGTGCCCTTACACCCAACTCACATTCACAAAAAAATAACTTTCAATCAGACATAGCATCCATCCAAAAATTAACTAAATGGGAACACAAAACAACTGTAAATACAGTAAGTGCTTTTCAATAAATGTTATTTTTGAAAATATAAAAGGATAAAACGTTTGAAATTTACCCACCAGCTATGGTTTTTTTTTTAAAGACGAGGTAAGGATTAAATTTGCGTGCTTTTTGAAAATGTAATGGCATTCAAAGTTCCCAATCTAAAAATTTACCTAAAAATTTTAGTAATATTTGATATTATTAAAATGGCACTGAATAGCAGAGAGCAAAGCAACGTGAACTTGCAGAGGTGCCCAGGGACCATCTGTTGTGTGATTACCTACTATCAGCTGTCAGCAGAATAAAGGAACACCAAAGAAAAGAATTAGAAATCTCAGAAGCCTTCTACTGTAGGATGGGTTAACACCCAAGTTTATTTGACCCGATGAAAACTAAAGGGGCTTCATCTGCATCTATACTCCAATATCTACACTATTTTTTCCTTATTTTCATGTAACAATCCAACTGGTCTGCTTGTAGCTTATTTGAATAGTTTCAAAGCAATACTGTTTTGAGTGAAACATTTTAATAACCTGCTTCTTATAAACAGGACTTATTGGTGGCACTGCTGATCTCTGGGCTGATGCTATTCTCAAATGCAGCAGAACAGTAGTGGCAGCATCACATTGACGATGTGGTTCTCGGAACTTTGCCGAATACTGTTCCCACTTTGTTTTGCTTGGTTGGGATCGGAATCTGCACCATTTACCTCTTACTGCCCTACGGAGGCCAGACAACTACAGAGTCCACCAGGCCAGCTGCTTTGACGGCCTCCAGACTTTCTCCAGACAGGCAGACTTATAGGTGGTTTGCACAGCAACAGTCATACATGTGACCTCTGTCTCACCGTCTTGCAGTTTTAATCCTGGCAATTCACTCACCCATCAACTGGGATAGAATGCTGATCATCAGATTCCAGTCAGTATTTTGGGGGTTTCCATAAGTGACTGTGCATGGTTTCTGCATCCTCAACTTAAACTGCAAGGGCGTGCAAGACTTTTGAGCAAAGTTTTGTGAAGATGTTAAAGGGCCCAGTGTTTTACAAGCTTCTCAGAAAGGACCAAGTCAACCATCTATCCTTTGTTATTCCACCAGAAGGATCGCCTATCACACAAACAAGTTTGCTTAAGTATCTGCTTCAAGTTCATTTTTCTGGGGCAGAAGATACTTCACAGCCTGTCACAGTCACTAAACCCCATACAGTATGACTGGTGCAGAGCTGCAACCATTACCACTAAAGGCAAAGTAAAAAGGGCAATTAATATGTCTGACCTATTTAAAGCTTGTGGTCCAGGTAGTATCTTCCCAGTTTTCTTCCAAAGAGGACTAGAATAGCCTCTGGACACAACAACTAGAGAATATGTTGCTGGTCTAGAGGACAGCTATGTATGGAGGACAACAAACGTAGTATTTTTGCCCAAACCTGGTAATATAGAGAAGCAAAATCTTAAATCTCTCAACTGCAACAAAATGGTGATGAGACAATTGTCTGTGTGATGCCTTTGGCATACTGAATTAGATATCTCTTTGCACTACTTGGGCTATTGCCTAGCTCTGAGCAGTCAAAGAGAAAGAATCTTGGAGAAAGGTTTGTAAGCTCAATCATCCAGGTAGATAACAAAAAAAAAAAAAGTTAAATCTTGTCATCTAGACCAGTTTCTTTAAGTGAGAAACATTTCATCCCCCATCCGGAGGACTTCAGTCTGCGGCCTGCCAACCAGATATGTCCCATTGGTAGCCTTCATTGCTGTGTTTCAAGCCATCCTCCTTTTGAAATCTCATAAGTAGGCTTTTAACACATGTAAAACATGCCCATCCAAAACAGTCAATCATTATGTACCACAATCATATGTTTTAGGTCAGATGTCCAACTTACTACTCACAGAAATAACCTGAGGACAACCAAGGCCAGAGTGGTTCAGAAAGGTGTTTGTAAGCTCAATCATCCAGGTAGATAACAAGAAAGGTTAGGTTAAATCATGTCTCAACAATGAACATCATAGTATTCTTGGAGAACCCTAAATGGATCAGGAGAGGCTCAGAACACAGTGTTTCAGGCCTTACGTCCTTTGTCAGAGGGACACAAAGGTTTGAATAAAGCTCAATGTGTTTTTGGGGAGAGCAAGGGGCCAACCTACAAGGCCCCAGCTCATACGAGTTCTTCATCCATCCTCACTTACCAATATCAGTACAAATAGCTGAAAAGAAAAGAGGCTAAAGCCAACATGTGCCATGAGCCTGGCAGATTACTCAGTCAACACAACAGTACAACATAAGCAAACAATCAAGCCATTGCAGGAGTGGTTTTAAAAGTCCAAGTATTGAAGTAAAAGGTATGACCACATGCCTGAAATACATTTTCAAAATGTGCTTTATAACACTATATAGAGGTCTTGAATGTTGTTTAAAGCAATTGCTGAATAATAAGACCCCAAGTACCACATATGGCACATTATATGCTTGTTAAACTATACAGCATTACAAAAAAATCTATAGTATGGGCCTGGACAAGCAAAGACCTTATAAAAAAAATTTGACCTTGATTTGTGACCTTGAATCTAGTGATGATGCATATGTATATGGAGTTTAATAAAATTATCTTGAGCGGCTCAGAAGTTATGGGTGGGACAAGAGAAAGTTTACAAGCATACAGAAAATATTCCATTTTTGATGGGCATTAAAAAAGGTGACTATAGATAAAGCCATTTACTCAAAAAATTTAAATGGCTGACCAAAGTAACTCTCATATCTCTTACTATTGAAGTATGTTATTTTCCTTACAAAACTTAATTAAATTCATAAGAGTATTGCAGCTAAAAATAAAAAATAAAAAAAAGACTAAAAAGCTACTTTGTTAAAAACAAATTTTCAGTTTAATCTCGAGGTAGTTCAGTCTTCATTCTGTGACTGGATATGTTGATGATTTAAGGTTGTCATTTAAATGTTCAGATTTTAAATTCACAACATTTTCAAAGAAAAAAAACAACTCAGTAACCCAGATTTGATAGCTTGCTAAAGCTTGTATACACTCCACAAATAAATGACTCAATAACTAAAAGCCTATAAATCAGTTTAGAGTTGTCCAATGAAGCAGCAGCGTTTGATTGCTTTGACTGGTTGAGTTACTGTGGCATAGTCTACATTCCATCTGAGGCTTAGTCATGTTACGACAGCACCCGGCATTAAGGGGGGAGGCTGTGGGAAAATGCAGGGGTCTCTTAAAAAAAAAAAAAAAAAAAGGAGCTGTACTACCACCCCTTTGGTTCTGCACACATTGAAGAAGAACATAAAACAGAACTTGTTTGTTTTCAGGTTTGATATAACTGAGTATTTAGTCTAACACCTTACAGTAATGTTTGTACACGCAATCCTAAAAGATGTGTTACTTTTATACAAGCGTGACCGCTTAGTCTCAACAACAGGAAGCTTAGTGGCAAACCGTGAAATTTTTTTGGACATTGATTGATGGCACTGACAAAAGATCCCAAGAAAAAACAAACAAACTTCAAAATATGTCTGTGATGATAGACGTCACGTCATGTAGAATACTGGCAGAACCTCCAAACATACTTACACAATTACAACAGACAAAAGGTAGTCTTTTGAACAGAATCCCACCAATCACAGGACAGTGTGGTTAAGTCTTACATAACCTTAACTTTTCTGACCCGCCCCCAAAAAAGCTCTTAAAAATAAAAAATAATATTTTAGTCATAAAACGAGCAAAGTTTAAAGTACCGGTTAATTGCAATCTCACAATAAAAAGTGTAATTAAGTATGATTAATGCCAGCTGTGTTGAATGTATTTAAATCCTTGTCTATTGGGAACACATTTTTACTGTTAAAATATAGAATAAACAGGAATCCCTAACATTAAATGTGCCAAACTGTGTACAAGGCATTCTGTCTGAAAACACTTCTCTCTCTCCAGACTTTGTGTGCATACTGAAAAGAAACTAGTTATTCAAATTTGCAACTCCATGTTTCTTCTCCACT